AAATTGCAATAACAAATACCCGCAATAATTTATACATTTATAGTATTGTAAAGTAGTTTATTAATCAATTATTCTTCAATGGTCAACAAAGTTAATTAGCAATATTCACAACAATTCAAATTTGAGTAAGTAAACAATTCTTTTTGTATTGAAAATTTGAGAATGAACAATAATTTAAAGAGTAAAAAGTTGAACCAAGGATGATGTTCTGCATGTATTATATGATCATTTTGGGGGAATACAATAAAATTACTAAGTCTTACTTTACCTATTCATGTAACCAAATAAGACTTCTTTCACAAAAACATGTTTTTTTTTCAGGACCATTGGGACTTTTCATGATTTTGTTTTAGTGTAACATTTTTACAGGATCATTAACCGAATGTTGTCAAAAAATATAGAATAATCGATTTAAAATCTGCTGCTGCATATCGGTATGCAATTGTATGTGCAGATATCATAGACCATTGTTCGAGTATTTTTGCTCCCTCTCAAATATTGGTTTGAAAATATTTTTATAAGCTAATTTCGATTTTATCTTGATATCTGTTAACAAAAGTTAATAAACTTACATTGCATATATGTTTTATACGAAACATTCGAACTTTTGATTGGCTTACAATAATTACAATGCATTCAATAATTCTATTTTGTTCTCAAAAAAAGGCGACATTAATGGCTGCTGCGTACGTCCTGTTGCAATATCCCATCAATGCATAGGAAAACAAACGAAAAGCTCGATACAACTTGCTATTTTTATGGTTTAAGCACACAAATGTCAATATAATATTGAAGGCTTCTTTTTTATTGGATTTTAAAAGCGATGATGGTGCAGAAATTTATAGTATGAAAGGTTTTCCCTTCAACACTTTTACACCTTACAAAGCTATAACGTAGCGAACAGACGTACAATAATTACACCTGAGTCAGTTGATAATACTTTAGCCCACTTAGCATATTTGGGATATTTCTGTACTCTTTGATAACACACCTCTAATACTGTAAAACTATTAGTTACATGTAATTACAAAGAGTATATGATAATGAAGACTTTTGTCCATAGAAGAATATTAAATTGCACGAACGCAGTTTTTTGGTATCATTGTGTTGCCCTTGTGTGCCAAATCTTATCAGGAGAAAAACAGGATTATGCAACCATAATATTGTACGCAAAGATTAAATCTTATCAATTGTGTATGTACGATTTGCTATGTACATGTAGTTTCTTTAAACTTCAATAAGGGTATATACCTTTTTGTATCATGCAAATCTACTTCAATTTAAATGATTAATCCCACAGATAGAGAAGTACATGTGTTCAAAAGAACAATTAGTTTTCTGTCATTTTGAGTTATTCTTTATTCACCAAATAAATATCAGATTTGTTTATCTTGACTTATTCAAAACAAATCATCTTTTTACATCATTCTAATATATTTGCAAAGAAAACATAACTGTATCACGACAGTTGTGATAACATAGCCATAAAGACCGAAAATCTCATTGTGAATGTCACAAAATTTGTTTAAGGCAGATGGGGTTTCATTCGACGTCTTGGATTGTTAAATAGCAGAAAATGTTCGGTCTAGTTTTTTAATGAAATGTGCAAATTTTTAGAGAAGAATGAACTTTCATTGTCAGACTTTTCATCAAAATTTTTAAAAAATGTGTTTTTTTTTTTATTTTTACGTCTGTATATATATATTAAATGTCTCTGTTTGATTAAGTTTTATTTGATTTGCAACCTTTCTTTGTATCACACACAATTTTGTTTTTCATACACAATCGAAACAAAATCTAACAATTTTGCATCAGCTTAGCTTGAGAAAAAAAACCATAGACCCATTCTTTTCATTTAATTTTGAACAGAGAAAAGTTGCTGGACAAATGACAACAGAAATAAACAACAATATATGCATAGTTCATAGAATGGTTTGAAACTGTTACGTATACATGAAAGGCACAGTTTAATTCATTGTTTAAAACGTTTCTGCATGAGATCGATATTTAACAAAACATGTTTGCATAAAACGTACTGTCTTAATTCCTTGATAAACAATTAAAATCCTTGGTATGAATAACAATAGATTTTAATTAGAAATTGAAAAACAAAACACTTCCTTGATATGTAAGCTTTCTTGTTTGCGGTTTTCACATGCCATTGTAATTTATACTATTGTATTTTAATGTAACTGACATATTACTGTATACCTTTTTAACCATGTTAAGTCCCTTTTGTTATCGACATGTCAATTTGAACAAACGTCAATTTTAATGCATGAAAATGATAGCGATACTTTTTTTTCTCAGATTCGGGTATAAATATGCAATGATTGAAACCTGATACATTTTATATATTATCAACAATCACGTAAGGAATATTTAAAGATCTGTATAATTCGAATAGACCATCTTCTGAATTTATCAACCTTGATAGAAGAAACTTGCTTTTCATACTAGCATTTTTAAATTGACAACTGTTCGTACCGGCCTGAATACCGGCTCGTATTTTTATCAAATATAATCGTAAAAGAAACCACCATTAAAAGATCACCTTCTGTGTCTTGTAGTTTCAAATTAGAAAGGCCTTGATTCAGAGTTTGAAAGTAAAATTGACAATATTCAATCTTTCTAAAGAATAATAGTTGTCAGCATGCTGCTGGTCTATGCAGGTTTTGTTCTTTTAATTGCACAAGATGTTTAAACATTTTGAATTTCGTCTGTTTATTTTCATGACAAATACGTCTTTAACGCTAAGTAATCTTACGATTTTCTGAGATAAGAATCGGGGATTTTTGTAGGGAAAAATCACGTTGTAAATAATGCAAATATTTTTATTGTTTATTGTACATGCCTTAACCAGGAAACCAATGGGGTTGGTATTTCAACTTGTATATAACTTTTTTATATATATATTGTGTCAGCACTTCCAACATGTAAAAATAGTTATAAAATTCAAAATTAATAATTAAGAATGAATAAAATGTTGTTTTGAATAGCTATGACTATGGACCTTGTGTTTTTTTTCGCATTTAATACCTGCCTAGTGTTAAGCAGGTAAAGTACTTTAGCGATACCCAAATTCAGAATATTTCATTCGAGAGAAGTCCTGAGAAATGACACCAAGATAAAGTAGACAAGTGTAGTTTGGGCACCAGTCAGAATAACACACGTACATTGTTTGCCAAATAACAAAAATATAACCTCGTACTAGCTAACCCCCGGCCTGATTTCCTTTTGATATCATTAGACATTTAAATGCTTAAAATACTATTTGATCATGACTACTTCGCCTCCTATATCTCATATAGCAAAACTATTTATTAGAAGAACTTTCAGAGTAATGGAAGATGAAGGCTTGAATGTCTTAATAATTAAACGCTACTGAACTATCTAAAAATAAACAGGAATAAACAGATGTTAATTGACCAAAGGCGAAGTATCAGAACAGTACTGAATTTACTGCAGTGGAAAAGTCGAAAAATTAATTGAAAGACTAAACATAACTGAATTATTTATTGTTCAGTCTTTTAAGACCTGTTCATATTAACATGGTCCTTTCAGATTAAGTGGCGTTTCTTGTGTTCTCTACAGTCAACAGCATTCTAAATGTCCTGCCAATCATCCTGGTCGATCCGGTTTGCATGAAACAATCAGAACGCACTTACTATCAACTACACCAAAAAAATTGTTGGCGTCTCTGTGTTTGGAGTTGGTTCACTAACTCATAATTTTGACCCTACATATCGGACAATTGGGACTGCGATAATGTTTGAAAGTTTGATGAAAACATGTGTTATGGTGTCCAATTTTTCAGTAAGAAACGATTTTCACTAATTGCGTCATATGTGAGGAAATTGTGATGTCATAAAAAGAAATAAATTTGATAAAAACTTAATTGATTGCCTCATTTCGCAAAATGTTTGACAGTTTTCTGGAATATTAACAGCTGGGCCACACTTCGCCTACCTTTCTTTGGATGATGCCACCCTTCGCCTACCTTTCTTTGGATGATGCCACCCTTCGCCTACCTTTCTTTGGATGATGCCACCCTTCGCCTACCTTTCTTTGGATGATGCCACCCTTCGCCTACCTTTCTTTGGATGATGCCACCCTTTGCCTACCTTTCTTTGGCTGATATATTCTTTTTATACATTATTCTTTACTGTTCAACCGAAATTTCAATGGACAAGGGATGACGTCACATATAAAATAACGAAAAATGGTCGGGAAAGGGGACAAATTTCTAAAACATTGGAATAAATATAAATCAGTTCCTTTTTCAAGCTTATATATTTATAAATACAAGGCAGAGATATATTTTTTCTTATCATACTTTCAAACATAATACATTTAGAAATACAAAAAAAAACAATAGATTTAATGACGCAATTCAACTTTTAAATATATTCCTTTACAGGCCGTTTATTTGGGCTTCTGGCTCAACTCTAGATTTATTTGTATATTTGTTTGAAATTTTAATTAGTTGTGTTGTATGTCTGTATTTTAAAAAAAGTTATTGCTGTTTAATCCCAGTTATTGAAAATACAGTCCCTTAATGAGCAAACAAATGAGTAGTTGTTTCCATTATTTTTATTCAAATACAGTGAAAGCCGTATAAAGACTTTTCTAGTTGGGCCACAGAAAACGACCTCATTGGTCTAAGAAGTGACCTTATAAATTGATGTATAGATATTACTACAGTGGGACAAGGAGAGGTTGGGCAACCAAAAAGGACTTTTATTAAAAGAGATATTCTTTATATTAGATCTGACTGTATTGTACAAAAGCACGATCCAAGATAGGCTACCGATTGGGGATAGATAAAAAATAGATAAAAGAGAAGCAACAGATACCAAAGGGACATTCAAACTTCTAAGTCGAAAATAAACTGACAACGCCATGGCTAAAAAAGAAAAAGACCAACAGACAAACAATAGTACACTAAACTTCACCACTTGTATATAAAATTCACATGAGCTAAATATTTCGTTTTTCAGGAGATGCAAAATCTGAAAATTATTTGAATGAACTTGAACAGCTACTAAAAGAACAAGAATATGTAAGTACTATAGTACAATATTGTAGTACTGATATACAACTAAACTTTTAATGAGATCATTCCTGTTCATGTACATGTACAAGATAACAAAACTGATATAAGGAATATATAAGTACTAGACAGTACAACAATTCTAGACAGCAGAACTTTTAATGACATCATTCCTGTAATATTCATGTACAAGACAACAATACTGATTAAAGGAATATGTAAGTAATGGATAGTAAAACAATTCTAGACTGCAGAACTTTAAATGACAAAATGCAAGTACAAGACAGTCATGAACTGTGAGTACTTCTAGACAACAGAATTTATGACGAGAAAATACAAGTATAAGACAGCCCTGAAATGTAGTTTTTGATAGACAGATGAACTTATGATGAGAAAATGCAATTGCAAGACAGCCATTTAATGTTAATACTGCTAGACAGAGGACATTATGATAAGAAATTGCAAGTGCATAAAAGCATAACTTATAAACATACTAGTAGATTACTTAACAAAGATAAGTATCCAGCTTCTGGTCAAAACTGTTCTATTTCAATGACTGATGGCAATAAAAAGGGGACCATATTATCGTGCCTACTTTAATTAGTATTTTGAATACACTTAGTACCATAATGTCATTACAATGTAAAAATGAGGGGCTGTAGTATGATTGCCAATGTGACAACAATCCAAAATGATCAAACTTAAGGCAAATATGTAAACAACTACAGATGACTGCGCGTTAACCAACAACAAACTAGACATGGCATTTTTACAGTCTACAAAATACTAAACGACACATGAGTTTGAGGTAATTTATTTTGTATATTTAAATATTCTTATTGTCGCCGAATAACTCAATTTAAACGTCTAGAACTATAGATTGCCATGCAAACACATAAATTGTTAAGAAATTATTTTTGTTGCTGTTACTCACTCTTTTCAATACTTCGAAAAGTACTAGATTATTTAAAAATTTGATTTTTAGTTTGCGGATTTTTTAAGACTTTATATTATTAATTTTAGACATCAGTTTTTGTTTAAAGCAACCATTTTTTATTGTTTCAAATGATATTTATAAGTGCAAAAAGACGTCTTTCCAATGCTATACTCTTTACAGGAAGATCAAGATCAAAGTGAGACCGAAGAAGGAATGGAGACTTCCTTGGAGACAGAAGAAGGAATGGAGACTTTCTTGAAGACAGAAGAAGGAATGGAGACTTCCTTGGAGACAGAAGAAGGAATGGAGACTTCCCAGGAGACAGAAGAAGAAATGAAAGCACAAGAGAATAAAATGAATCAGGTTCAACAGAATTTTGTTCATTATTGCAAATACAATTTATGAAGTAAAATGTTTTAGATATTTCTTTGTATTCAGTTTATGAAAAACATTAGTAATAGTTAAACCTACTGTTATGTTAATGTTTGTTTCTTAAAATATAAAACAATTAAACGATTTGTTTGATGTTTCTACGTCATTGTTTTAGGATGAACAAGAATATAGTGATGCCGAAGACAAAAAGGAAAAGGATCAAGAGAATTCGAATGAAAAGGAGATGAATGAGATTGATAAGCTACAGGTTTGGCTTTCTTTATTGGTCCTTATCGGTTTTACCAGCTCTTCCACGTTTGTATAAGCTAGGTTTTGGACTTTCAAAATTTGTTGGCGTCGAGCATCACTGAGGAGACATCATTTGTGGAAATGTGCATCTGATGCAGTAAAAGTGGTACTGTTAATGTTTTTAGTATTATCACTAAAGCATAATTTTGGTTAATGTTTTATATTTTTGTTTTGGAATGAAAAATCATTACTGTATGTGAAACTAAGAAACTGGGATTTGAAGCAATCTGAGATTCCCTCATATATTCCTGCAAAGGAGAGATTTCAGGAATTCACAAATCTGTGTTCTCTCCTATGGTATAAACATAAAGGAGACGATGAACACTTCCCATTTTTAAACTAGATACCTAAATTTCACAAAAATCCTGATAAAGATCGATATATACACAGGTCGTGTGAAAATCCTTACAAAGATCTTACTACCGTTATTTTTTTATTGTTAAAGATGGAATTCAGACAAATTGTGATGAAGTTTACTTCACCAGTGATGTCTGGTGTTGATTCTTAGAAATCTATTACAAAGTCTTCAATTGCCATCTTTACAATTTTGCAGTAAATTCGAAAAAATTTAAACCTTTTACTATCTACGCTACTATTATCCATGCTCAGTTGAAAGATCTGTCAAATCGTTAGCCATTTACATATATCAATATAAACGATGGGAATTTGCATGCTCAAATCACCACTTGTTTTTCGTTGGGTTCATATGACTCAGTATTTGGGTTTCTATGTTGTTTTTTGTAAACTATTGTTTGGCTTTTTGTCATTTTTCGGGGGGAGGGGTTTGCCATGTCATTGTCAGTTCGTTTTCGAATCATGTGTTTGGTATCTTCTGTCCCTCACATACGGATTTCATTATAATGATGTGCATAAACTGCTCCAACAGAGGCATTAGGAAAAACAACTGTTATCGACACTCTAGAACTTTTTCAGTCTGTATGACGAATAAGTCAACCGATACGATGTGTTCGTGTCTTGACTCACTAACGATACGTTGTCTTAGGTAAGGTACGAGAATAGTCGTCTGATATACTAACTTACCGATTATGCCCTATTCCCAATTGTTACATTTTTAGTTTTGTTTCGAACGGGGGGGGATTGATGTATGCATAGCATGAGACGCTTACCCTGTCGACGTGCCTGGTTTAAATCCTTTTGGAGTCCATGTGATGCCCTCAGTTTAGTTGATTTCGAAAACTTAAAATACTCAATTAGTAATTTTCATTTTTGTTTTAAAAAAGGAAAGGAAGGGTATGATGGAAGCTGTTGTCAAGCGCGTGTGGAAATTTTGTTCCGTAAATTTATACCTGCACACTATATTCTTTCTTTTGTTTATTTCAAATTTATAATAATTTGTACAGATAGTGCATCCGACTGTCACGTGTTGCCATGATTCTGATTCAGTTTTGGTTTTGTATAAGAGCATAAGGTATAAACATGTTATAATCCTGATCAATCTATCAGTCTGCATAAATGTCAAGATACCATTCATCCAGCATGACATAAACGTGGTATTAGTATCGTATATATTAACCTTGAAATTGTCTTGAAAGGTCTTCGATAACTTAAAAACGATCTTCTGTACTACGATCCAATGAATCCAATAGTTGAACCATCTCATACCTAATCACTTTAACAGGTTATTAGCTAGTAATGATAGTTTGGACAAATGTAATAAACACATTAAACAAACATAAACCAATAAACTAACGTTCTGGTTTTTTAACAATTCATGTTGTATGTTAATTCTGAATTGGTTTTTTTAGGGGAGACAGGTAAAATTTGGTCAAAAGTTGCCTACATCCGAAACACGTCTTGATAGACCTGACAAGTCTCAAGAATACATGCCAATATTTACTGATAAAGAAATGTTGTTGATAGAGAGAAAAATCAAAGATTGGAGAAAAGGAAACGAAGAGGAAAAAGAAGAAGACACAGAAGAATTACCAATAGACAATCCGGAGGTAAAAAGAATTTTTGGCAAAAATTCATTCTTTGTTACATAGTAAATAGACCGGGTGGAGAATTGAGTCTTCTTTACATGACATCTTAAATAAAAATGATTGCGTTTAAAATCAATAATGTGTGACGGCTATATGATGAATATGTTGAATGCTTGTCAAAAAGAAAAACATTAGCACAAAGCCTTTGAGAAAAATCTTCTTTATTTTAGTTAATAACATGGATTTTGAAATTTTGATATTTCGACCTTGTACAAAAGCATTGGAATCCCATGGACATTCAAGCATAAGCTGATATTAGAGTATAAATTCCTAAAACAGAGGTTAGCTTTTAACATAATCCCATAATTTTTAATCATCCCATGCCGTTATGGTAATTGCATACCTCAATAGAGCACCTTAACGCCATCTTTCTCAAAACAAGCTGAAACGTGAACTCAGTTGTTATCATTGAAAATCTTAGAGCTAAGTGGAAATATAGATAAGGTTTATTATTGAATTTTTAAATAATTCTTTTTATAAATTTTGAGAAATTTTGACAAACAAAATCAGGGCTTTTAGGAATATAATTATAATGATGAGGAAATGGAAAAATTTATTAAAAAAGAATTGTTGATTTGCTTTCAAAGTTTTATCAAGCTGTAAACTTAGTTTTTTTTTATTGTTTTGCTAAAATGAAGAAAAGATAAAATTCTTGAAGGAAGTCTATACATGTGTTCTGCCAATATAACATTTCACTGCAAATATTCAGCTTTTTTCTGTTTGCATGTTTTAAAACAAACAATTATAGTTTTTTTTTCTTAATTAATAAATATTTATATGCTAGAAATTTACAATTTACTAAAAGATGTAAATGTACATGTTGCAATCTTCTTTTTTTCAGAATATTGATCCAAATGACCCTTTATCTAACCTACTTGAAGGCATGGAAATCGAGAACAAGGGGAAACTACATCTTGTAAGTATTCTAACAAGGTTAAAGATGACTACAGGGAAAAAATATCCCGAGTATCATACTAGTAACTAGTGAAATACGAAAGAAAATTAAATGACAGCATCCCAACAAAATATAAAGGTTTAGTGTTCCATGGTACCACTGCGGTAAATAGTTTCTAAAAATAGAAACGAAATTCTCAGGTTGAATGTTCATTCATATACAGTTGTCTTTTTCAAACGAAGTAAGGTTTCTCGTTATTTAGTTTCTATGTCATAAATTGTCAATTATAAGACAAGTGTTTAGTCCCATTGTATTAGGGCAACACCAAAAAAAAAACGTTGATAGATTATATTGTAGAAATTAATACAATGATATTTCAATATGGGATAAATAACAAACAACTATGTTCTACGGTTTTAAGAAAAAAATACCGCTGTTTAGTGTTAAATGACTTTATTTTGGTAAAATGCAGAAACATCATTGCAAAAATGAAGAATGTAAGTAAAGTGTTTTAGGATTTAACCTTGTGCCTGTACCAAGTCACGAATATGGCAGTTGTTCTTCACTTGTTCCTCTGATTGATAGTGTTTTATTTTGTCCGTTTTTATGGACTTCCACTTTTTGAGTTTGCCTTGGGGTTCGGTAGTTTTGTTATACTTTTTTGATTGCATAGAAAAATATCTGAGAAGTACATAAATAAGGAGTCGTGTAAATTGTTAAACGTGTGCAAGCTTGTCCCAGGTCATGCCATATTGGATATTTATCTACATTGATTGTTAACCGTAAAGTGTCTTTTATCTTGGTGGGTGTTGGATCGCTGTCAAAAGAATGCATGTCTCACTTTTATGTTTATTTCAATTATAATATTTTGAAAATTACAAGGAATGGTTTCACCAATATTCAGGTTTATAACTAAAAAAGCAACATATTGTGATACACAAAGCCAAATGTACTTAAAACAAAACATTTGTTCACTCTATCATAAACTTTATAATGTTTGATAGGTATGTTTTAATCCATTAAAAATAAAACAAAAAAGTAGTATTTTTTTCTTAAAACCGTATAACATAGTTGTTTGTTATTTATTATCCAATAATGAAATATCATTGTGACAGTATTAAGGACAAACAAATTCCTCGGGGTACTCTCCAGACGTTTGCATTCTTCAAAGGATATTGAAAACAATAATAAAGAACAAAATCGTGTTTAAAAGTAATTATAATGAACAGGTTCAGGGACTTCATCCAGAAGATAGTGCTAAGACGTTCGGTGATTCACACGACTCACATAGACTTATACCAGAACAGATAGCTAAACTTGAATTAAAAAAGACGGTGAGTAGAATTTACAAACTTCATTGTATACCAATGTCAAACATGTGCATATCTTGATTGAGATATCCGTACAGTATTGAAAATTGTGTTAACAATAGAGCTTCTAGCATATTGAGAGTGTTAAATGTCATGTGAATGTTGTTGGAAGATAAATGGAATTTAGTAATATGTGCAGTATTTACCTCATAAACTTCTTTAGAATTTTTTTTTGTTATTTCCAAGCTACGATTTTCCAGGATTTTCAGTACTATTTTAAGTCTTGTTTGAACTTACTCCTTATTAGAATAAGGGTAGTCAATTACAAAAGTTATGGCAAAAAGATATAACAACGTTTACATAATTGATTAAATTTAGAATTGGTAATAAATCCAGTTACCTACATTTATAACCAAAAGTATTTGAAAGTTACGAGTTATTTTGTTTCCTTTCTAATGTTGAACTTTATGACAAGATACATTTCTATATTGCTGAGGATAAAAATAGATATAGTGATATCTATTTATATATATCTGTAACAAATTCAGACAAATTTTTTCTTATTGTTTTTTATTAACTTTTATGGTAATCTAGATTTTTAAAAAATGTAAACAAACATATTGGTTTACTCTTAATTATCAATTGAAAGCAAGCGAAATACCAGATTTTGATTTACTTTACTGTTTTGTTTTATCCTTACAAATTTTAAATCTTGATATTAACACCATACGGCATATGCTTTCCAGGTCGAATCAGACATCAGATATAGAAATTTTGATACTGATACAGATTATCTTTGGAAAGACGGAATTGTTCCCTATAGGATATATAACATGTGTAAGTACTTCACTTTTTAAAAGCGTAAATAGTGTCACTCATTGTTTCCTATAAAATATAAAACATATCACTCGATTGATCCGGACAGTCAGGATAGTTTTACATTGCAATCCTTGTGTAATTTTGAGACAGTTTGTTGTACAAGTCGAACTATTTGAAAACCTGACGAGGAAAGGTTTTACTGGACTAACGAAAGCTATTCTTATGTAAAACCTAAGTGGTCCTGAGAATACTTTATTTGAAAAAGACCACAACATTACAAAAAGTAAAATAGCAAAAAAACAGAACTCCGTGGAAATTTCAAAACGGAAAGTCTCTTATCAAATGGCAAAATCAAAAGCTCACTCACATCAAACGAATGGAAAACAACTGTCATATTCCTGACTTGGAACAGGTATTTCTTTTGTGTAGAAAATGGTGGATGAAAACTTGTTAGCTAATCTCTCACTTGTATGACAGTCGCATCGAATTCCATTATAATGAGCAAAACAAACATACACAATAGGTGGAAATGTTACAAATTGGGTATATATATACACATGTCAGCATCTTTAAATCAAAAAAAGCGTCTGATGGTTTCGTTTTGCAATTAAAGGGTCATGTTTGCATTTAGAATGATACGAACATTTTCCTATTTTGAGAAGTACCATATTGGCAAATTTTACATATAATGGGAAGGTTAAAGTCAAATGGTGGCTCCTACACATGTGAAATAAAGAGTTCAGAATACTACCAAATATTGGCAATAAGTTTTAATAACCTGCCTGAAAATAATTGATTAATATTGAAACTAATGATTAAAATTAAAATTAACACTTCAAACTTTATGAATTTAACGCTTTTTTCTGGATTTACCTTCACCATGAATGCTCATAGCGAAAAATTTAAAAGCCAAGGATGTATAAACCCTGAAACATGTGAAGGCTATAAAACAAAAAAGGACCAAAGATAATAGCCAAATCCATCTAAATTCAACTTTGCATGAGCGAGTTAGAACCTTAGTTTCATAATAATTGTTATATTTGTACGAGGAAATTAAGAAAGGTTTGTTTTAATCATATCATTAACAAACTCATGTTCCCTTCACAAATGACTGCGACGGTGTAACGCTGTTTGATATATTGTAATCTAATCACAGACAAAACAGCTGAACTGTACGGTACTCTTTCCACATGCCAGAATATATCAACACTAGATGAAGACGACAAGAAAAGATAATATTCGAATTAGGAAAGTTATATATTGATATGACCAGGTTGGTCATGTGGTCTTGGGGGCTGGACAGAGTGCAGATAGAGTAACAAAACCGCAGGTTAAAATTCCGTAAAAACAATTTGCTTACTACAGACATGCAGATCTAACATTGTTTGGCTACATTTTAGACAAAGTATACGTCATCTGTTGTATTGATTTTCTGTTTCACTTTGTATTTCTTTTTGGAGAGGTTTTTTGATAAGATATTTGACACAACTTAATTTTTTGTCCTCTTCGTCATTAATTTGATTCACTTGAAATATGTGTAGCAGATAGACTTAATGCTTTTTTAACTTTTATTTTCTTTCAACTCTATAATATTGTCGACATCTCTTTTTATCATTGCAGCTACAAGCTCTGTAACAGTTATCGACAAAGCCATTCAACAATTCCATGACTTTACATGTATTAAATGGATATCAACCACTGATACCCTGTTTAACCCATCAGCACTTGGACACCAGAATTTCGTAACATTTATAAATGAACAGTAAGTGTGATGGAATTCATAATCATTTTTGGATGTTAATCAGAGATTTTTATTAAATGAAATTATCCAATTAGCCAAGAAATATAAACTTACGTTATAACTTATATATGAAATGCAGTTCTTCTTGTGTTTTCGTTTTTGATTGTACCATACGTTACTGAAAATTATATCAATTGTGATATGTATACATAAAATGCCTTATCCCGGCCTCGTTAACACATTATTTGTATATTGAAGGAACTAGTGTTTACTTCTTAGTAATCATGATTCTAAAGTATACATTCCTCATTTACAATACAGTGAAACCCGTCTCAACTAAACCTCGTTGGTACTTTATTCGGTTTTGGCAGATGTTCGGTTTAATCGGGTTCATAACAGATAAAATGTGATATGACTGTACTTAGGAGCATGTTTGGTTAAGACAGCTTTTCGGTTCAGACAGGTTTCACTATATATCCCCTGCTTTCATAGTATCTTTCCATTAAGAATGACTTATATTTTGGAGAAAAAATAAATAAACACAGCAATTTAGATATTTGGCAACATTATATACATTCATGGCGAAAATATGTTTAGATATTGCATTCTATTCATGGGGTTAAATTTAAACAAGCACAAATAGTTATAAAGCCTCTGGCTTTTGTTTGTCTTGTATAATTTTTAATTTCAATTCATTGATATGTTTTGGAGTTTAGTGTGACGTCCATTTTCATTGAACTAGTACACATTTTTGTTGAGGGGCCAGCTGAGGCCCGCCTTACGGGTGCGGGATTTTCCCGCTGTGTTGAAGACCTATTGGTGGCTTTCGGCTGTTTTCTGCTTTTTGGTCGGGTTGTTGTCTCTTTGACACATTCCCCATTTACATACTCAATTTTATAAAAGTATACATGTGGATATGAGTGCAAAAATGACAACACAAAATTATTTTACAATATAAAATTTAAAAACAAATGTGGATACGGCTAAACTATAGATAGTAAGACTAAATTACGTAATGCTTAGGGTTTTTTTTTACAACTTATTTCAGTATTGGAAGCTAGGGGTCCCAGCATAAATTTAACAATTTTTTTTCTACTATTAGATTTTCTGTGAGGTAATTTTTGACTCCGGAAAAATGTATTTGATTTTTTTCAAGTTTTGTCCTATAAATAAAATAAGATTGTGAAGAGAATTATCAAGTTTTAAATTTTAATATTTACTGTTTGTCTTCAATTTCTTAATAAAATATATCCCTGTTTAAAGGACTTATTATTTGTGTTTTGTTATAAATCCAATCGTCGAGTTTAATTTATCCACAAATCTTACATTTTACGGCATGTCCAACTTATGTCCTAAAATCTTCAATAGGTTCATTGCAGAAACTACATTTATCGCATTGCTTTATCTTAATTTAAGAAAAAAATGTATTTGTCCCCACGACGCTGTGTGTTATTATATATTGAATCCGATGCCGTTTTGCACTTTATGGTGTTGAAACAAATTCTGAACGTCTACCGGATCACTTTTATACTCAATCGTAAGAACCAATTGTATTCACAGCTAAGCCTAGTAATATTCTATTTCTCATAGAATACTATACATAACTTTTCCGCCTTTGTTTGATAAAAAAAAAATGTTGTTTTGAAACATGTGTACTAAATTTTAGATAATCTGTCGCTCCTTTGTATTTACTTTAAACTAAGCACTTGATAGTTTGGTGCCTGTTCAGTCTTGAAATGCATAGAATTTGGTTCTTGCTAATAAATAAGTATACCAAAAGCTCGGCTTATATATCCTTATGATAGTAATTTACCATTTTAACAAACTGCATTAGTTGAAAAATGTAACATCTTCCTCGAAAAATTTAATAAAATTTTATTTCATATCCAATCTGTTGAAAAAAAACCTTATTTTGCTGTATGCTTAAATCTACAAAGATTCACTTGTTTTCCAATCCCAATAAAATTGTCATTTTGTAATGTTTACGTTATTATTTTCTAAAATAAAATATTGTTTACACTAAATCTGCAAAGAGCCTATAGTCGACGCAATATGAGGAAAAAAAACACGTGTTTTAAGGGTTTCACGGACTAATTTTGAAATCCAATTCTAACATGTTTATGTATATGTCGTCAACATAAATTAAGTAAGAGACAACAGACGTATACCGAAAACCCAAAACCAGTAAATCTATTTTAAACATACAATACAGGACTAATAAAACTAGGGAAATCACATGAACCTCAATCGGAGCATATGGTTGAATCAAAAGAATACACGTCTTAGGCTTTGCAAGTATCAACCGTGAAGCAAATTCAATCTCAGTCTAATAACGCTGAAGAATTAATCGAAACAATGCTGATCTCCGTCATTATTTCCATTGACAAGTATCAAATGCTGGATTTCCAATAAAGCGATCTATACAATACTCAAAATAGACTCGGTGAAAACGAAATATGTGCCTGCTGTAGGTCATTCTTATCCTTATCCCTTTTAAAAACAAAACATAACAAATTAAAGCAATAGAAACAAAAACAAAAAACAACCTCATCATGTTGACCCTTACAATTTCTTTTACAAGAAATATTTACCACAGTCTTTGGTCTAATAAGAAATATTTACCACAGTCTTTGGTCTAAAAAGAAATATTTACCACAGTCTTTGGTCTAATAAAAAATATTTACCACAGTCGTTGGTCTGATAAGAAATATTTACCACAGTCTTTGGTCTAATAAGAAATATTTACCACAGTCTTTGGTCTAATAAGAAATATTAACCACAGTCTTTGGTCTAATAAGAAATATTAACCACAGTCTTTGGTCTAATAAGAAATATTTACCACAGTCTTTGGTCTAATAAGAAATATTTACCACAGTCGTTGGTCTAATAAAAAATATTTACCACAGTCGTTGGTCTAATAAGAAATATTTACCACAGTCTTTGGTCTAATAAGTAATATTTACCACAGTCTTTGGTCTAATAAGAAATATTTACCACAGTCTTTGGTCTAATAAGAAATATTTACCACAGTCTTTGGTCTAATAAGAAATATTTACCACAGTCGTTGGTCTAAAAAGAAATATTTACCACAGTCTTTGGTCTAAAAAGAAATATTTACCACAGTCTTTGGTCTAATAAGAAATATTTACCACAGTCGTTGGTCTAATAAGAAATATTTACCACAGTCTTTGGTCTAATAAGAAATATTTACCACAGTCTTTGGTCTAATAAGAAATATTTACCACAGTCTTTGGTCTAATAAGAAATATTTACCACAGTGTTTAGTCTAATTAGTGATATTTGCATTCTATATATTTTAAGTATTGTATTTATTTAATTTTTAGAGGTTGTTGGTCCTATGTAGGCAATGTTTTTCTTAATGGACAGTACCTAAGCTTACAAGAACCAGGTTGTGTTAGTGTAAGTATGTCTTTTTTATACATACATGTTTACTAGTTACTTTATTGTTGGTCGGCCTGAAACATTCCAACTTTTCAGGAGATCGACTTTGCATTTGCAGATAAAATTATAAATTAAGATATTTAAGCTTACGTAAAATCAGTTTTAATATAGTCATTTAGAAAGATTTGGACGATTATCGAAAGGACCTCATCACTGTCCATGACACTAGAACCTATATTTTTACATTTAGATGTAATATAACAATCATTTTTGCACGATGGCGTCAGAAATATTCTCATGTAACGTCAAAATGTAAAGGAGACGTCTGAAATGATATGTACTGCTTGACAAATAGCTTTAAAGTGTACATAGATAAGAAATTAAAAATAGATCTTATTTTATTCCAGTTGGCTTAGTGATTTCAAAAATCTTTTCTGGTGAAATACACATTTGTTCCTATAGATGCAATACATATAATCTTTGTCATAAGAAAGAAACTATGAATTTAATCCATTCCTACCAAAACTTGTATAAACTGGTCAGGAGCCTTGGTAAAACATAACTTTAAAAAAAAAAATTTTTAGTAACAGTAGCTTTTTTTGTTCGTAGGCAGGAGACAGTCTTCCTTAAAACATAGAAGCAGTTGATTACCAACACGCCGATTCTTGATTTTGATACCTTCACTTAGAAAGATAAGAGAATCGTCGATTCATTCCGGTTTTGATATTGAATATGTGTTTTGAAACTTTTTGATTAACACATTTGTGTTAAAAATTGAATCATTTTGATATCTTTAAAGTTCTCTTTGATAAAATTGTCGTTCATTTTAAAGTTTATTGTATACGTTAAGTGGAAATGTTTGGTCAATCTTGAAGATTTTATTGAAAAATTGATTGTTTACAGAATAATAACTGAATAAACGTGAACTGCCTAACTCTTTAGTTTTTACCATGGCAGTTGATTGTTTTCAGAATGATAACTAAATAAACGTGAACTGCCTAACTCTTTAGTTTTTTCCATGGCAGTTGAACACAAAATCTGTAACACTGACAATCATTACCCTACCTGGGGACTGTCGATGTGTTGACATGCATACTAGTAGTAGTGTCGCAAAATTGACAATCCAAAATATTGTAAACCAACTTATTTTCGCGGATACTTTACTTTGCGTCTAGCCCTTACCAGCCCATTTCGCGGCGACTTAATTTCGCAATTTTGAAATTTGATTGGTGTAGTAAAGAAAGATCCAAGTTTTACACTTTCGCGACGATTTATATTTGCATTATTTTTCTACTCGCGAAAATTAGTTGATTTACAGTAATTTTCTGCACTTGAGTGACATGGCTATAACATCTTATATTTGTCCATGCAATATACGTAGTTTGAAAGGAATGATCCATTTAACTCTGTTTGCACATATATGGAGTTGAATAATGACTTTTATTTCCAGTTAGATAATTTAAACTTTATCGTACTTTGGATTATTTGAAGGTACTCTTAACTAATAATAATTTCTAGTAGTTGAACTAGTGATCAACACTTTAATATGAAAGACGTACATGTATTTGTGTTTAATCATGTTTATACAAGTTAATAAATTTCTAATTTTACATCAAATTTTGTGCTTTTAATTTTTCTTTTTCAATAATTCTCAAGTTTAAATTAATGATAAACTCATTATAGATACCAGGATTGAAATTTTGTATTTGCGCCAGACGCGCGTTTCGTCTACAAAAGACTCATCAGTGACGCTCGAATCAACAAAAGTTAAAAAAAACAAATAAAGTACGAAGTTGAAGAGCATTGAGGACCAAAAATTCCTAAAAGTTTTGCCAAATGCAGCTAAGGTAATCTATTCCTGAGGTAGAAAAGCCTTAGTATTTCAAAAATGTAAAGTTAATTTATAATTATGACCGTATCAATGATAATTCATGTCAACACAGAAGAAATTAATACATCTTTTGTAGGTCAGTACAGCTGTGCATGAAATGTTACATGCAATGGGAGGACATCACGAACAATCTAGAAGTGATCGTGATAATTACGTAACAATTGAATGGCCAAACGTACAGCAAAGGTGGAATGGACTGACATGGGTGAGAAATAACAACATGGAGAAGTATAACACACAAGACAATAACCCTTATGATGCAGAATCATCTATGCAGTATAGTTTGTTTGTAAGTATTCAGTACAGAACAAAACAGAAGACTGTAACATATAAAAAAGATATGTGGACTATTGTGGCGATTCATGAATAGCACCTCACAAGTCAAAAGATATCTCAAGGTTAATATATAGTCCTCAACAGGGTTCGGAGCTATTTGTTCACCTCTTACTCGTCTGAGGTTAGAAATATTGTGAACACTTTTTACAGACACTGTCAAAGAGCTGTCATCAACACCAAATAAACAGAACATTAAGAAAGACTTGAAGCAACTTGAGTTATCTATTAAAGATTATGTAATCAATGAAGCTGTTGTAAAAGAGAGAGGAAAAACCATAATATATATATAAATTATAAATGTGAGTTTTAGGTTCTCTGGCTTAAATAATGTTCTTAAAATTAAAATGTTAAAATAAGTATACTTATTTTTGCAGTAGCATACTATGATGTCATTTTAATCAAACAGTATGAGAAATGTACTGTATAAAAATAAGTAAAATGAAGATGAAAGTGGTGACATTATAAATTCTGAAATAGATTTAATTGTATACCTGTTAATTACATTAAATCCTGTAATTGGCACGATTATCCAGAACACAACCTCTAACTAATCACTAGTGTACATACGTTCTACAGAAATAAAGAGAATCAATCACTGTCATTAACACCAAATTCTCAAAAAAAACAACAAAACATTTAAGATGTCACGTTAAAGACAACAACTGAACATACTGACGTGGGACAGGCACATTAATATCAGACGGGGTCATATTTTTTTCTGATCTCAAAACTCTCTCTTTTCAATTTTTATCAATGAACTAACATGACTTACATAAAAGAACAAACCATACAAATCATTGTAAGAAAAGCACTTAGCACTTATATAATAGTATAATAGATAACAAAAACGCAAAGTTATTAACATATTATTTCGTAAAAAAGAATGCACGCAATTTATATAGCTTATAACGCATATAGTAAATAGAAATCACATGGAAACGAAAGCCTGGTCAAGGATCCTCAATGCATACACAGCAGCGTTTATCTATTATCACACATAACAGGTGCAGCTAGAGTATCACTCACTTATACTTCCGGAGTAGTTGAGACTACTCCTTGCTTTTGGTGTGGTTTATATGGCTCAAACTATAATTTTTCGTGTAGTGTTGTGTGAACAGTTGCTGTATATGTATACGCATATATTATCAATATATCACATGGTAAAGAAAGCCTGGTCAAGGCCTCTTTAAGCATACAAAGCATCGGTTTCCTATTATCACACATGACAGGTGCAACTAGTGTAGCAGTGACTGCTTATCCTTCCGGAGCACCTGAGTACAATCTTGGCTTTCGGTGTGATTTGTATGGTTCTATCTATATCTTTCCGTGTAGTATTGTGTGGACTGTTGCTTTACAGGTATACTAATTCGATATGAATTGGAATTTTCTTGTACTGGACTTTTTTGCTCTCTTTCATTTGGTAGGCTTTTTCCACGAATGGCAAACAAACTATCAAGTTTAAAGATCAAAGATTAGAGTTTTTGGCTGATTCAGCTGATGGTCTAGAGTTCTATGATATACAAGATGTTACAGATGCATATAAATGTGCAGGTAAGTGAAGAAATTTTCAAAGAACTATGTGTCCAATCTTGAAGGAATCTATTCAATAATTGGAAAGACCTTACACAGAGTTTATGTACGCATGTAAGCACTTACTGTAATGTCAATTACAGAAGTTCTCTGTATTACCATTTGTATCCATGAAACATTTCGGAACTGGACGTTAAGCAAACAACAAACAATCTATCGATGCTGCCATAATTTTCGCTATAGTATTAATACTGTAACTGAAAATTCAAGCCAAAGATATCAAAGTTTTTTTTTATTTACACATACAGATTTCTCAGAAAAGATTTGCAATATCTTTACATTTCATGTCTGATTTCTCAAAAAGTTGGATTTTATCATCATGCATACAAAACAGCAATACCGAAACCGTCATTTGATACACCTTATTCAGGTCAGATGTTAACACTGGTTTACTTGATGGCAGACAGAAATTTAGTACCTGTTTACCTGAAAATGTACTGATAAGTCTTTTTGAAGTTGATGTTCATTTTCAACTGGTTTGCAAGTAAACATATTATAAAGATTATGAATTCTGATGCTGAAATGTTTTTGAAATTCATTTGAATAAAATAAAGTTAAGTCTACATAATTCTTATATGTGTAGATGGTGTAAATTTCAAATTCAAAAGAATTGATCTCAGTTCTTTTCACATATTGATGAAACAAGCAAACAAACTACTAAAACGTTACGTTATTTCGAATATTTTCCAAAAGTACCGGGTTTTTACATTTCCCGTCATTCTCTGAATTCTATCAATGAAAAAGTCAACTGATGGTATTAGAAAGACATAATTTTTTGCTCACCTGGCCCGAAGGGCCACGTGAGCTTTTCTCATCACTTGGCGTCCGTCGTCCGTCGTCCGGCGTCGTCCGTCGTCGTCCGGCGTCGTCCGTCGTCGTCCAGCGTCGTCCGTCGTCGGCGTTAACTTTTTACATTTTGAACTTCTTCTAGAGAACCACTGAATGGAATGAAACCAAACATGGCATGAATGTTCCTTATGAGGTGCTGACCAAGTGTTGTTACTTTGTAGCGGATCCATCATCCAAGATGGCCGCCAGCGGGGGACTTAGTTTAACATAGGACCCTATGGGAAATGCATACAAATGTCTTCTTTTAGAGAACCACTGAATGGAATGAAACCAAACATGGCATGAATGTTTCTTATGAGGTGCTGACCAAGTGTTGTTACTTTGTAGCGGATCCATCATCCAAGATGGCCGCCAGCGGGGGACTTAGTTTAACATAGGACCCTATGGGAAATGCATACAACTGTCTTCTTTTAGAGAACCACTGAATGCAATGAAACCAAACATGGCATGAATGTTTCTTATGAGGTGCTGACCAAGTGTTGTTACTTTGAAGCCGATCCATAATCCAAGATGGCCGCCAGCGGGGGACTAAGTTTAACATAGGACCCTAAGGGAAATACATACAAATGTCTTCTTTTAGAGAACCACTGAATGGAATGAAACCAAACATGGTATGAATGTTCCTTATGAGGTGCTGACCAAGTGTTGTTACTATGAAGCTGATCCATAATCCAAGATGGCCGCCAGCAGGGGACTTAGTTTAACATTGGACCCTATGGGAAATACATACAAATGTCTTCTTTTAGAGAACCACTGAATGGAATGAAACCAAACATGGCATGAATGTTTCTTATGAGGTGCTGACCGAGTGTTGTTACTTTAAAGCCGATCCATAATCCAAGATGGCCGCCAGCGGGGGACTTAGTTTAACATGGGACCCTATGGGAAATACATTCAAATGTCTTCTTTTAGAGAACCACTGAATGGAATAAAAGCAAACATGGCATGAATGTTCCTTATGAGGTGCTGACCAAGTGTTGTTACTTTGAAGCCGATCCGTAATCCAAGATGGCTGCCAGCAGGGGACTTAGTTTAACATAGGACCCTATGGGAAATACATACAAATGTCTTCTTTTAGAGAACCACTGAATGCAATGAAACCAAACATGGCATGAATGTTCCTTATGAGGTGCTGACCAAGTGTTGTTACTATGAAGCTGATCCATAATCTAAGATGGCCGCCAGCGGAGGACTTAGTTTAACATAGGACCCTATGAGAAATACGTACAAATGTTTTCTTTTTAGAGAACCATTGAATGGAATGAAACCAAACATGGCATGCATGTTCCTTTTGAGGTGCTGACCAAGTGTTGTTACTTTGAAGCTGATCCTTCGTCCATTATGGCTGCCAGATAAGGCCAATGTTTAACAAAGGATCCTATGGACAATACATACAAATGTCTTCTTTTAGAGAACCACATACTGAATGGATTGAAACCAAACATGGCATGAATGTTCCTTATGAGGTTCTGATTAAGTTTTGTTACTTTGAAGCTGATCCTTCATCCATGATGGCCGCCAATGGGGGGGGGGGGACTTCCTTTAACATAAGAACCTATGGGAAATACATACAAATGCTTCTTCTAGAGGTGCACTGAATGGAATGAAACCAAAACATGGCATAAATGTTTCTTATGAGGTGCTGATTAAGTATTGCTACTTTGTTGCCGATTTACTGTTCAAGATGGCCACCAGGATTTTTTATTAAATTACAGGACCAATATTCAACCAAATTTGGCCTCACTCATTATTAGGGTATCTGTTATGATTTTAATCTACTTTTACATGATTTCCAAAACCAAAGTAGAATCAGGTGAGCGACACAGGCTCTTGAGAGCTTCTAGTTTTTCATAGAAATGTAAACAATCAGAAAAATGTATGATAACAAGGAAATAAGGTATGATTGTCAATGAGATAACTTTTCATAGTCTAAAGAACAGAGATGTGAACAATAACAGGTAACCGGGCGAACTTCGTCAATAAGCAAATCTCAGATTGCTGTACCAATATTATGACTATTTTATTTATTATGTCTGTTTTGTTCACGCATCGTTGTAAATATAACGGAATTTGATGAGACTGCCGTACAAGTGAGAGGTTTAGCGCTATAAAACCAGGTTCAATCCACCATTTTCTACATTTGAAAATGCCTCTACCAAGTCAGGAATATGACAGTTGTTGTTCATTCGTTTGATGTGTTTTGTCATTTGATATTACCATGTGATTAGGGACTTTTCCGATTGAATTGTCCTCGGAGTTCAGTATTTTTGTGATTTTCTTTATACTAAAACAATAAACGAAAATCAATGTTGGCAGACAGCAGCCTACGACAACCACTTAATAACATGTTCCTAGATATGCACAGTCACATACAGATGGGGATTTACATGTTAGTGAGCGCTCAAGCCTTCCCTAACCCGGAACAGGTGTGTTACAGTGCAAACAACTGAACAAACTGTACAAATCATTTGAAACGGGATAAACTCATCAGATCGGTACTAATCACAAAAACCAATAACAAAAAGACAAAAGACATTACGTACCGACGTAAGAGTACTCGCAGTTACGGTAAGATAGTTCAGAGCCTATTTTCAAGTAATAGATAAATCTTGTTTTCTCAGATAATTATCGAAATCACCTCAACTCCAACAAACCTATCTTTGAAAAAGACTTCTTTAATAATGTGAGATAAACATGACCATGCTACAGTATAAGTATCGACAAGATGTACGACTATAGTTGATAAGTGTCTTTTGCAATATGGAAAGGCATATCACGCTATCCGCTGACGTCATACTCCTTAAAGGATGTAGTGTTAGATCAAAGAAACCAAATGCAGGCATGTGTTAACCATTTGGATGTTTTGCCACAAAATATATTGCCCTCGGACTATCGCCAGTTGCCTTCATTGGCTTACAATGCCAACAATTGCAATTGAAAAAAGGGATAAACAATATTAAAATATTTAAAATGTCTATTTTTTGTTTTTATAAACAATGTCAATAAAAACACTTTTAAGACAAATGTAATTAATTGATATATTTTTGTTATAATGTCTTATATTTAGATCACTGCACTAACAGACCTAACTGTCAGAATGGCGGTTTCGTCAATTTCCAATGCACATGTACTTGTCCAGAACACCTGACTGGTGCTACCTGTGAACAAACGGTCTCAAATAGTCGTAAGTATCCAGTTAACTCCTATGAATAATGTTGAATACAATAAATGCTTTAAATACTGAAATAAATTAGTATTTAGATTGAAATAATAACAGTTTATTTTTCTAATCGCTTGTTTGAATAAGGAGCCTCCGTAGTATACCGATGATAAATACTGGGAGAATCGTATGAAATTCAGACGACAATGGTGTTTGAATATGCTACATCTGTACAAGAGAAGATAATTCCATAAAAGTGGAGAAATACCGCCGATCGTAGAGAAAAAAAAGTTTGGACGATTTCATACTAATTAAATTGTTTATTTTCCAATCAAAGGGAACGTACGCCCTCCATGCACCGTTGTGTATTTAGGTGAAAGTTCAAAATAATATTGCATAAGAAATAGTTGACTTTCTGGGCGAAAATAATTAACGATTTATTCATACACAAAAACTACTCCAACAGAATTATAAGGTAGATCGATTGAAATCGACAGTGTATACGTTTCATAATCAACATCAGGGATTTGGCTTACCGATACAATCTCTCGTTTCCTCAACTCGCTAGCAACGTAATTTCGCGGCCTTAGATCTGCAAATAATATTAATTCGATGTTCAAAATTCTATACTTTATACTGAAGCTTTACAGACAGAATAAGAAGTAGCTAGCGTCAGCTTATAACTTCTCGTTCCGTTATATATATGATGTTCGTTCACTTAATTATTCAAAGTTTGGTGGCTTTTTTCAGCGAACCCATCTCATCGAACTTGAAATAAAAGATACCAAAGATATAGTTAAGTCTGCATGAAATCGTGAATAATATAGATAAGGGTTGTTTGAGAACCAAACTTTTTAGATCTCCTATTGTGATATTTCTTTTTTCGAAGCAAAATTCCAGCAGCGCCTGCATATTGAGTATGTACCTTCCAGTTGATATTATATTCCAGTGCTAGCATTTCCGATTAAAATTCACTCAATCAATGGTCTGCCATATTTATGATTATGTCGATATTAAAACGCAGTATAACGAGTCATATACATACCGAATTTTACAAAGATTCGACATACCGCCCAATCACATTTTTATCGCCTGACTATTGATAAATTAATACTACTAGGGAATGTTTAACAAGCTTGACTACACATGAGGGTCTCGCACGGTCGGTTGGAAAATTGTATGGTTATTTTTGCAATGTCCAGGTTTTGATCAGGAGTTTTGTTTAATACTATTTAATATATCTGTAGGGGTTAAATCTATTTCCAGCGTAAAAATCTGAATCCTTTCATCAGAAATACGTGCAAAGACGTCACGTTACTCATATCTGTGGCCATTTGTCCTACCTCAAAATTTGTGTCTTTGTCTCCGATGTTTGCCTTGTTTCGTCATTTCACTCACATTGGTGGCCATTATTTTTTTCAAATCCGTGTGTTTTCTCCGATGTTTGCCCCGTTTCGTCATTTCACTCACATTGCTGGCCATTATTTTTTTCAAATCCGTGTCCTTTTTATAATAAAGACTTTCAGCAATGAGCTGTGACTTGGGACGACAAGGTACAAATACAATGTAACAGGGTTGACATGATGGCGAGCTCTTAACCTTCTCCTCACCCGGGACCGTGGTTTAAGAAAACACTTTGAAAATCAGTTGGAAACTGCTTGACTATTCAGACTGGCACAAATCTCGAAAATCAATATAATTTAAAATTAAAACTGTCCATAGCTTGATTTGCCAGAATTGAATATTTATCCAAATGATTGGTGTAAGAGTCCTGAAATATTTCTTAGGAAATCTGTTGTCTCTGAAATGCTCTACTAGTTCAGTATTCAGCAAAGATATGACGACAAAAACATTTTTCATGCTCCTCGATGAAGTTTTACTAATTTTTAAATCAACACATACTTAGGTGACATAGGACAGGGCACGACTTGTTTAAAAGGACACAGTTTAGAAAGGACATAGATTTGTGACATCTATGACACAATATAAGATTGGCACAAAATAAATCTGAGGAAACGAGACAGATTTGAGTCTTAACATAGATTTGACTCGACATATCTGATTCTCTTTAAAGTTTGATTCATACATTACAAATGGCTTTCTGCTATTTGGCTTACATGAACACTTATGTATATTTGCAAATTTGCATATGGTGTATCAAATTGATTCACGAATCCTTTAATTGTGTATTTTAGATTATTTGTAGCTAATACGCGATACAATGAAACGAAAAAAGACTTACATTATTAACAATTAAAAGAAAAAAAAATATCATTAAAACGACATTATTTAAGCGATCTTAAAAATATTAGGGTAAATGTATATTCGGTTAGGCGTTGACTACAAAACAATAAATATTGATTCTTATAGAAACGTGTGGTGGTGTTATCACCCTTGGGGTAGGAGAGGAAAGATTCATCCAATCACCAAACTATCCAGCTAACTATCCAACAGGGCTAGAATGTACCTGGTTAATAAAGGTAAGAATTGCCATCTGATGAAATCACTAATCTTTATTTACAACCAAGTATACCACTGGTGTAGAGTGAAAATGTTTAAAGATGACTGTTATAATTGATAGCACAAATGTATAAAATGTATAAAAAAATAACGTAACTTTAAAAACAGAAAAATATGAAAGTTCCTTGTCCTTGTTTTGAGATATAATCTATTGAAAATTTGGCGGGAAATGATCCTCTCTAGATTGTTCATACATCTAACATTGACATCTTTTCACTTTTAAAAATTATGAAAAAAACAAGGATTTCAAAAGATTTTCAAAAATGGCCTTTTAAACTTTATGTAATAAAATTTGAAAAAATGTGGAAGCATTAGAGGGCAAAATTGTTATTGGCACTACATGGATAAAACTAGAGGATTCCAAATATCTGACAAAAAGTAACAAACAAGAGAAGGGTACATCCTAAAGATTTAAGAAAAAAGTAAAATAACATAAACTCCGAACTCCAAGGAATTGACACCTCTTGAAATCAAACTGTAAAGCTAATTGTCACACAAGAACATAGAGTTTGGTTATTGAAGGATTTTCTTCAGGTGAGATCTTAAAACTATCCGACATATTATCCTACAGATCTAGAGTATACCTAGTTTAAAAAGTATTTTCGACTGGTGAAATTACAATACTATTCAAAGAAACCAGCGTGTATCTTATTAGGTAAGATTTGTCAATCGGCTTAAAACCAAACTATCAAACTATCAAGCATGACTAAAATGTACTCAAATAGATTTCTGCTTCACCAGAATTGATTCAATATTACCCATTTGCAGGATATTTTACAAAATACTGTTGCCGGGACAGAGATGCATGATAATACTTTTCCAAGAGCAATCTTTTATCATTCTTTTGTTTGTTTTAAATGAAATACTTGAATATGCATATTCAGGATCACAAACGGTTTGCGCCTAACAAAATCAGTTATTGTGTGTCTATTTTTTTTTTATATTAAATAATTATTTTTTTATTAAGAAATGCATTTTTTTTTATTGAGCAATTTCAATATAAACTTTATCGTTTAACTACTTAGTGTAGTTAGTGTATGAATAAGTAATGTGTAATATAAAAAACATCCCATATTTTATATTAAACGTGTAAGGACCATATACACTGAGGTAAACGATCCAAATTTGCCAACTTTTTCAGTTTTCTATTTGAAAATAAAGAGTTCCATTTCAATTGTTTGATTTCAAACAGGTATACGCCTGTACTCCATTTGATATATTTACAATCTAGTGTAATCAATGCAGTTCCATTAAATTATAGTTAGTTAATTTTAAAGCTTTCTTGAAGCATTCCAGGTGGTGTATATTTTACATTACTTTTAGGGAACTGCTAATAATATAGTTCGAGCTTCAGTACAGTACATGGATATATCTTCTGATGCTGCATGCAATCATTGGTTGGAGTATAGATATAATTTATTGGGACAGAAAGGCCCAAAGTGAGTATTCAACACTGTAATTAAATCTTTGAATATTGTTTTTATTGGTGTAAATATTGATCTTGTTATCAGTAAATTAAAACCATACTTAATAGTACACATATGTACTTTCACGGTACTACAATCTGTCGATACTTATAGTTTGACATTGCACAAGGGCATGTTTTTCTCTGACTGTTAATGACGTCTTTATACTAAATCCATTGGATGTTGGATGTGTACTGATTGATATTTTAGTCTTAGATACATGATTTTTTTCATAAGTTGTTATTGACTTTGAACTAGCTGTCAGTAACTGGGCAGTACTCTCATATCTGTACTTAGTGTCTTTTTGTTTTTGGGATGTATAAGTACCCGTCCACGTCCACTTTGTGTTTTTGTTAGATGTATTTATATTTGTATCCATCTGATGAGTTAAGCCTTTTTCAACTGATTTTTATAGTTTGTTGTTATGTTGTACTACACCACTGCCCCAGATTAGGGGAGGGTTGAGCGCGCTACATTCTTTATGTGCCTACCCAACTCAGGGGCCTGTAGTCCAGTTGTTGGCGTTGGTTCATGTCTGTCATATTAGTTTTTCGTATACTGTTTTGTTATAAATTAGACCGTTAGTTTTCTCAATTGAGTAGTTTCATATTTTCCATGTCGGGACCTTTTACAACCGACAATACGGTATGGGTTTTTCTCATTATTGAAGACCGTACGGTTGCATATAATTGCTTAAATCCACTTCATTTGAACTTTGGTGGATAGTTGTCTCATTGGCAATCATACCACATCTCTTTATCTTTATATTGTTGGTTGGAGTATGGGTATACTTTATCAGGACAAAAAAGTTCCAAAGCGAGTATTGTTGATTGAAGTATACATATAATTTATTGGGACAGAAATGTTAAAAGTGAGTATTGTTGGTTGGAGATAGGTATACGTTCTTAGGACAGAAAGGTAAAAAGTGAGTATTGTTGTTTGGAGTATAGATATAATTTATTGGGACAAAAATGTCCAAAGTGAGTATTGTTGTTTGGAGTATAGATATAATTTATTAGGACAGAAAGGTCCAAAGTGAGTATTGTTGTTTGGAGTATAGATATAATTTATTGGGACAAAAATGTCCAAAGTGAGTATTGTTGTTTGGAGTATAGATATAATTTATTGGGACAAAAATGTCCAAAGTGAGTATTCTTGTTTGGTGTATAGATATAATTTATTAGGACAGAAAGGTCCAAAGTGAGTATTGTTGTTTGGAGTATAGATATAATTTATTGGGACAAAAATGTCCAAAGTGAGTATTGTTGTTTGGTGTATAGATATAATTCATTGGGATAGAAAGGTCCAAAGTGAGTATTGTTGTTTGGAGTATAGATATAATTTATTGGGACAAAAATGTCCAAAGTGAGTATTGTTGTTTGGAATATAGATATAATTCATTGGGATAGAAAAGTCCAAAGTGAGTTTTGTTGGTTTGAGTATAGATATAATTTATTGGAACAGAAAGGTCCAAAGTGAGTATTATTGGTTAGTGTAGAGATATAATTTATTGGGGCAGAAAGGTCCAAAGTGAGTATTGTTGGTTGGAGTATAGATATAATTTATTGGGACAGAAAGGTTCAAAGTGAGTATTGTTGGTTGGAGTATAGATATAATTTATTGGGACAGAAAGGTCCAAAGTGAGTATTGTTGTTTGGAGTATAGATATAATTTATTGGGACAGAAAGGTCCAAAGTGAGTATTGTTGTTTGGAGTATAGATATAATTTATTGGGACAGAAAGGTCCAAAGTGAGTATTGTTGGTTGGAGTATAGATATAATTTATTGGGACAGAAAGGTCCAAAGTGAGTATTGTTGGTTGGAGTATAGATATAATTTATTGGGACAGAAAGGTTCAAAGTGAGTATTGTTGGTTGGAGTATAGATATAATTTATTGGGACAGAAAGGTCCAAAGTGAGTATTGTTGTTTGGAGTATAGATATAATTTATTGGGACAGAAAGGTCCAAAGTGAGTATTGTTGTTTGGAGTATAGATATAATTTATTGGGACAGAAAGGTCCAAAGTGAGTATTGTTGGTTGGAGTATAGATATAATTTATTTGGACAGAAAGGTTCAAAGTGAGTATTGTTGTTTGGAGTATAGATATAATTTATTGGGACAGAAAGGTCCAAAGTGAGTATTGTTGGTTGGAATATAGATATAATTTATTGGGACAGAAAGGTCCAAAGTGAGTATTATTGGTTGGAATATAGATATAATTTATTGGGACAGAAAGGCCCAAAGTGAGTATTGTTGATTGAAGTAGAGATATAATTTATTGGGACAGAAAGGTCCAAAGTGGGTATTATTGGTTAGTGTAGAGATATAATTTATTGGGACAAAAATGTCCCAAGTGAGTATTGTTGTTTTGAGTATAGATATAATTTATTAGGACAGAAATGTCCCAAGAGTGTATTGTTGTTTTGAGTATAGATATAATTTATTAGGACAGAAATGTCCCAAGTGAGTATTGTTTTTTTGAGTATAGATTTAATTTATTAGGACAGAAATGTCCCAAGTGAGTATTGTTGTTTTGAGTATTGATATAATTTATAGGGACAGAAAGGTTCAAAGTGAGTATTGTTTGTTTGAGTATAGATATAATTTATTGGGACAGAAAGGTCCAAAGTGAGTATTGTTGGTTAAATTATAGATTTAATTTATTGCGAAAAAAGTAAAATCACAAAAATAATGAACTCCGAGGAAAATTCAAAACGGAAAGTCGCTAATCAAATGGCAAAATCAAAAGCTCAAACTCATCAAACGAATGGACAACAACTGCCATATTCCTGACTTGGTACAGGCATTTTCTAAAGTAGAAAATGGTGGATAAAACCTGCTTTTAAAGCTAGCTAAACCTCTCACTCATATGACAGTCGCATAAAATTCCATTATTTTGACAACGATGTGTGAACAAATCAAACAGACATAATAGGTAAAAATGTCAAAAATAGGGGGAAAGCAGTCAACATTGTGTTATTATCCTAATCACTATAAAAACAAACACAAAGGCCTAAAGTGAGTATTGTTGATTGGAGTAGAGATATAATTTATTGGAACAGAAAGGTCCAAAGTGAGTATTGTTAATTGGATTTAAGGTATAGTTTTTTAGGACAGAAAGGTCCGAAATGAGTATTGTTGGTTGCATTATGGATATCATTTATTGGCTCATACAAAACAGCAAGCTATAAAGCGCCCCAAAATGACTAGTGTAGAACAATTCAAACAGGAAAACCAACGGTCTAATCTATATAAAAAAAGAGAAACACTTATGAACCACACCAACAAAAGACAACCACTGAACAACAAGCTCCTGACTTAAAACAGGTGCATAAAAATGCAGCGGGTTTAATCGTTTTAACAGGCGCCAACCTTCACCCTAACCTGAAACAGTGGTGTAACATTACAACATAAAAAGACACACAATAAAATATCAATTGAAATGGCTTTACTCGATCAAAAAGACATATTCACAAAAAACAAGTAAATATACACTGAACGAATAGGTTTGAATCTATGACACAATATAAAATAAAAAAGATGTATCAATGTCAAAAAGACAACATTAACCTAGGACAAAATGGCGTTAAATAAAGTAACGTACACAGGTTAATTTAAATATAATAATTTTGTTGTTAGGAGTACCGAAACATTTTTTACATTTGTTAGTCATAGTATACGAGTACAGAAGTGAAAATTTATCGTCATACTAAATACTTATCAAAGGTGATACATATTAAAAATAGTACGACGAGATATAACACAAAATAAGAAAGCATTGAATAACAGAAATGCATTTCAAATTGTGTCAACAGGTCAAATTAACACGAAAGTATATATGTCTGTTTTCTTTTATCTCAGTTTTATCAGTTTCATGGTTCAAAAAGAGCATAAAAATATACAGTCTTTTTTATCACGTTCTAATTTAGTTATTACGAATAGTTGGACAACAATATTTGAGATATTGAATCTTTGCAAGTTTACATATCCTTCTGGTAGGTTTAACCTAGCCTTGATATTCTATTTATTGTTCATTGATCGAAGTAACATTTTCTTGATATCATTAGTTTCTCCCTTATTATAAGCAATACGGAAACTGTATGCGTGTAAATAATGGTTGGAAGGTTTGTCTGACAGGGTTCAGCGACCTTGACCTTATTTTAATTTTATGGTTCACAATGAATAATGTTAACGTTATATGAAGTTGTCATTCTCTCAGTTACTATTAGTAATAGGTCAAGTATAGTTAGTGTATAGAATATATGTAAGTTGCACAAGTCATTCTTACAGATTTTGTCTGAATAAATGTCTTTGTTATTGTAATATGTATATCAATTATGTATACTCTATGTCTGTATTGTGTGTTTGTGCGCTAATTTTCTTGGTTCTTTGGTAAACGTTAAGTGCTGAAATAAAATATCTTTAATGCGGTCATTTTCTGTATATCTACTGTAAAGACTACTTTTAAAATAATTTGAAACACATAGGTATATATCGATATATATATATATATACAGGTATTGATTAGCTACTTCAGATTTGGCATTATGTTTTGCAATTCTTGATTTTCAATATTCCTAAACTTTTTATTGATTTGGTCTTCCAACTGTCAATATTAGAGCTCAATTTATGAGCCTCATACGGATGAAACTCGCGTCTGGTTTTTAAAAAAAATAAGCATTGTATATGTAATTACTATTATTTTTGCTTCTTTGATTTGTCTTTTATATCGTTTTTTTTATATTTGAAAATCGGATATCAACTGTTGGGTAAATTTACTTCATTGTCTTGGTCATTGATAACTTCGTTTTTTCTTTATACATGTACCTGTAGTAAGAAATTGATCTAAAAGCTTAACTAACAAATTTTGTCATTATCAACGAATCAGTGAGACATTTCTATATTTTCAGACTTGTTACACTGGGGTATTTGATATGTTTTAAATAGCTTTTAGTGTTAGAAATAATGGTCAGTTCATAAGCAGGCAACATTCCTAAAAGGCCTGTAAGTTTTTTGCCATACAAAAAAAATAATCTTAAAGCCCATTTTTCTGTAAAATAACAGTTTGAAAATCTAAAGTGTTGCACCACATTTTTTTTCTATCATTGAATATTTCTTTTAAAATACAGGAAATGTGGTACAAACTTTGTGGCGGATGCAGAGATATGGGACAGTACACTAGATGAGTTGAGCAATGCCATGATGATTATATTTGACAGTAACACATTCTCAACAAAACCAGCTGCAACAGGATTCTCCATTAAAGTTCAATCAATTGGAAAAGGTTTGTAGTTACCCTAAAAATGAATTTATTTCAATTGTGTCTCCACCTTGTAGAGCAGTTTGGACGATTTAACTTTAGACTGTATGTGTCCATATGTCTCTGCGTTATTACTTTTTTGTTAATCAATATTTGTTAAATTTTGATGATATTTTACTTAAAGGCAGCACGATGATTTATTTATTAAATATATTCTATCCGTATTGAAAACACGTTTTTTGAGAATGTTATCAATTTTCAAGCATCTTATCAACTGTTTTCTTAAACCATTGATCATTCGAATACGAAATTTGAAGATTTTTATTAGCTTTTATCAAATGAAGTTTTTTAATTGCTTTTATCGGGAACATTTGTTTTTTTTTTATTGCCCTTCAACTTCGTATTTCATTGTCCCTGGCTGTTCCGAAGGGACTGTTGAGTAGAAGTAGTAGGAATACCGCTCCCACTGTTCATCTCACCATATTGTCCCTGGCACGGAATTAGAATAATACGTCCAGGAAAGGGTGATTTGTAGTTCTGTAGATTGTAAATTTTGAACATTTACATCATTGGTTATACATGAATAATATGACTCAGTGTGTTTGTCTAAAACATAGCAGATATGATCGCAGTCATATGTTGTTGTCCTTTAAATGTTAGTTAAATAAATGTCGACTGGTATAACAATTTTTGGGTTACCTGGAGGAAAAACTTGTCAAAATGAGCCATGGAAATAAATTCATTATAGATACAAGGATTTTAATTTTGTACGACAGATGCCCTTTTCGTCTATAAAAGACTCATCAGTGACGCTCGAATCAAAAAAGGAAAAAAAGGTAAAAGGGAAACTTTTTTAAGCGAGCATCACATGTTGTTTTTTATCAATTCAGTTAACCTTTTTTTCTCTTTACCTAAATGTCGTAACCAGTTGTTCCGTCTTAAAATGTATTTTTATTTATGAAAAGATGTGTAATAAAAATGCACTGAAAGATTTTTCAGTTGTTTTCTTTATATGTATTAAAGGTGACTATTATTTTTCTCAGGATGTGTCAATGCCCCTTGTGTATATGGAACGTGCAATAGTCTTGAGGGTACCAGTGGCTATACATGTACATGTAACCAAGGTATATCAGGGACAAACTGCGATGTACTGACTAGTGAGTATGCTAACGATACATTTGTGTTCATATACCAACTCATTGAAAGAGTGGTATACTGCAATGACATTGTCTCACCGTTCATGAATCCATTTTTTAGTCTATTTGTGCTTCAGTATTTGTTTTGTGTGTTACTCAGATGTTGCTTTTAGAAATGATTTGAAATTTCGTATGTATTTTTATACTGTCGTATCGACCTTATTTATGAGAGGCCGACTATACAAATGGAACATTTTAAAAATATTCAGTCGAAGTAAAGTCATAACGCCATGACAAAAAAAAACGAAAATCTACGGAAAGACGAACAAATAATTATAAACGCTACACAGAAAACTAAACAGTGAGCAACACGAACCCGGTCAGAAACTAAAAACATAAGATTAGATCTTTATCCTGTAATGATATAGACAATACAAAAAATTACAATTATAATGAATATTTATCTTTAATATCATACGAACTGTCAATGTAATTTGCTACACTAACAATTTATATTTTAGCATCCTCAGTATTCGAGTGTTCGTTTGAATATGGAGAAAGGTGTATTTTTGAGAATGAGGCAAATCATCAGCTGAATTGGGAATATATGAATGTAAGTAAAGAACATTGTGCCCTCTCAGAAGCTAAAGCATTCTGTGTATTATTTTCAAACGCTTACGTCACAGCGTTATATTCAACAAATTGGTGAGGCTATGTGCTGAACAACAATAATTGTACCCACATCCCTTTCGAGGGTGAAAGAGAGGCGTTGCCAAAGGGATATTTAAACTCATGTAAAAAAAAAACGAACTGAAAATGCCATGGCTAAAACTGAAAAAAAGGACATGAAGACACTCAGCAGTATACAAAACACAACAAAGAAATCTAAATACTGAGCACTACGAACCCCACCAAAAACCGGGGGTCATATAAGATGCTCCGGAATGGTATGCAGATCATGCTCCATATGACGCACCAGTCGTGTTGGTCGTGTAAGTGCACACTCGTCGATAAGTTCAAATCGGAAGGTCAGTTCCGAAGAAATAAGGACTGGATTGTGGTTACGACAATTGGAGCATATCCGTCGTCATCTGTGAAACAGATGTTTCATAACGGTCAACCAACTATTGATAGCGTTCTTAAATTTTCAAAAGGGATGACATCAACTTAGCATCTTGGACCTCTTGTTTTGTTGTGTGGTATGTCTGTTATGTATGTTTCACAGTTTTGGATGCTGGATTCCAATTATTGTCATATTAATCTATTATGTTTGTTTTGGTTGCTCACCCAATTTTGTTTACTAGTATATAACGGAACCATAAACAACAGTCATTCAAAGAAGAGGTTTAGGTGGCTATAAAACCAGGTTTAACCCAACATTTGTTTTCGGAAAATGCATGTACCAAGTCAGGAATATGGCAGTTGTTTTTCACTTGTTCCGTTGATTGATAGTTATTGATTTTGTCAGTTTTTATGGACTTTATGAATATGCCTTGGATTTCGGTATTTGTGTTATACTTTTTTATAATTTCTTTGTAAACAGCAACCGTCTATCAAGGAAATCATGATAGGAAATGTAAGCTCTGGAATGGCGTTTCAACGAGGAGAAATATACTCCATATGCAGGCGCTGCTGTAATGTTGCTACAATAGAAATGGAAAATTCACAATTTGGAAACTGAAATCATCTTTTAATTTTTATAAAGATTTGTTTTCAAACGACCGTTATTGTCATGAATTGAGGCAGACATAACTGTATCTGCTGTAACCTTTTTTTTAGTTCGATTAAACAGATACGTTCAGAATAGTCACTAAACTTTGATTTTATTTATTGAGAGGACATCCTTTATATAGCGCAAAAATGAGTTACAGGTTGGAAGGAGGAGAACGCAGTTGGTTCCCATGCGAGTTCCGATTTCTTGTTAAAACACGTCCTTTACACGTAACAACTATGTTGTCAATCCAGAAATCAAGCTACTTGATAATGTCAGTTTTAGTTTTCATACTTAGTGGAATTGTTTGCCATGATATGTAATTGACCATATCGTGCAGACATTTTGATTCGATTTTTACTCTTACTTTAATAGCCTTATGGCTATTAAACCTCAAGGACATTGTCGTCCTTTACAAGAAAGCTAGTAAACCAAGAATTCAAAGTGATGAAGTTAAAGTCATAAATTTACAAGCTCTTATATTTTCATTATGTTCCACCTTCGTAACCACGCTCTCATCTTCTTTTCCGTATTTGATTTATCACCGAATTTGTACCGACATGAACAACATGACAACAGATATCACAAATCGAACAGATTCTGCTGTTTTGAGCAACTGAGACCACCCCGATTATTAATGGGGTTTGTGTTTATCTGTTCATTTCTATGTTGTCCTTTGTATACTGTTGTTTGTCTTTTGATAGTTTAACGTTTTTTTGCCATGTCGTTGTCAGTTTACCATCGACTTGTGATTTGAATCAGCATTTGGGATCTTCCGCCTCAATTTTACGGGATTTATGAGACTTAGAACCGTTTGTTTGTGATCGTAATTCCTCTGAGACTATTTGACAGAGATCTCTCATACTTGATATTTGTGTTTGGTATCATGTGCAGTTGACTTTTTTATATGCCCGTCAAATTTTTGACGGGACGTATTATGTTTTACAAATGTCCGGCGTCCGTCCGTCTGTCCGTCTGTCTGTCTGTCTGTCCGTCTGTCTGTCCGTCTGTCTGTCCGGCGTAAACATGTCGCACCGTAACTTGAGAATGACTTATCCGAATTTCATGAACTTAACATAGTTGTTTCTAATGATGGTCAAACGATCTGTATATTTTTTGGTGATAATAAGATTAAAACTTTTTGAGTTACGGGATTTAGTAACTAAAACAGGTGTGTGTTTTTTTTTCACATGTCGCGCCGTATCTCAAAAACTATTTATGATTATTGCTTAAAACTTTACACACTTCCTAGTTATATTAAACTTTAGATCTGTATACTTTTTGGTGATGATTTAAAATTTTATTTTGAGTTATTGAGTATTTTGTAAAAAAAGGGGAAGGGGTTTTTCACATGTCGCGCCGTATCTCAAAAACGATTTATGATTATTGCTTAAAATTTTACACACTTCTTAGTAATATTAATCTAAAGATCTGTATACTTTTTGGTTTTGATTCAAAATTTTATTTTTGAGATATTGATTTTTTTTTTTAAAAGGGGGGTTTTCACATGTCGCGCCGTATCTCAAAAACGATTTATGATTATTGCTTAAAATTTTACACACTTCTTAGTTATATTAATCTAAAGATCTGTATACTTTTTGGTTTTGATTCAAAATTTTATTTTAGAGATATTGAGTTTTTTGTAAAAAAAAGGGGGGGTTTTAGCATGTCACGCCGTATGTCAGAAACTATTTATGCTTATTGCATAAAAATTCACACACAAGACGACGGGCGTATCATGCGCTCATGGCGCAGCTGTTTATTTATACCGCCATTCCGCGTTTGGAGTTCGGTATTTTTGTTATTTTACTTTTTTTCAGCAAAATTAAACTAAAGACTGTTATTGGTATGACTACATATAATAACAGACATTTGACTTGCTTTATTTTTGTTCCACTGATTAAGATTAAAAAAAAAAGAGGGAAGGATTGGGAGCTTAATTGACTTTTTCTACTCTGTTGTATCATGGTTTGTTTATTTAGGGTCAGGAGTTTCAACGATGGCTGTCATTGTTATAACAAAAGAAGATGTCAAGTTTACGCCAATAAGACATCAGAAATACACATGTTTCCCTAGATATGGTTTACTTGTAGTGAACTTATTTGTACTTTGTGTAGACTTAGGAAGATTCCGAAACTGCTAACCCTTCTGCAGCACCTGGGGTTCATGCTGCCCAATTGAAAACTTTTCCGTAGTGTGTGGTTGATTTGCTAGTCTTAAGCAGTTTTTGTTTTGCTGTGATGATCGTTGTTCTTCATATAATACTTTTTTTAATTGTCCCTCCCTTGGTCTTCTTTTCCGTTTTAACATATATGTTGAAGACAACTATCGTTTGTTAAAGATTGTTATCCCCTAGATGTATGTGCACTGTGCGTTTATATTTAAATCCAACCTCTAAATGCTATATATTAGATAGGACAAATTATTTTCATTTAAGAGTTTGAAAATAGTTTCATGTTAATCTGACATCCTAAGATCTGACATGTGGAAAATAGTTCATTGTGTTGTTCCAGGACAAGGCAGTGTTAATATCATACCATATCTACATGTCATTTTCTTCGGGGCTTTGAGGACTCTTGATTTCATTGAACGAATACACTTACTGTACATTCATATATTTCCGTGTGTACAAATTTCCTTGATGGAGAAAAATTGTATTTTCGAGCATATCTGGTATAGTTGTTTAGATAAATTCTAATTACATGCCTATAGCTTATTTGAATTAAGTTATTTACTAAAAGTCTGTATAACTTTTATTTGATTTCAACGATTTTCTGATTTGTTGTCCGGGAGTTATTTGACTCTTTTATCTTCTTTTTATTCCATCTTGGCGTCCGTCGTCGTCGTCGTCGTAAATTTTGAAGAATCCTTTTCTCTGAAACTACTAAACAAATTTCAACCAGACTTGTGTAAAGTTGTTTTTGCAGCAAACATTGTCGCTTTGACTAAAAGTAAAACATGGGAGTAAAATCAATCAATTGCCTTATATCTGGAAATCCATTATAAAGATAATCTGATAAGACAAAAATCCCCAGAATCTACCTTCTTCTTTTTCATCATCATTATCAGACGATAACCCTTAATAGGTAATTGTCCTTAAGTAAATTTTTTTGCTAATTTTGATGTTTTTGCTTTTTATCTCAAAAACCATATAGGATTGGTAGAAATTGTTAGGAGCAAAAATGATCATCAGCACATGATCCTCAAAAATGTCCAATTGCCGAACACAAGGGGTCATACATTTATGAGTTATCGCCTTTTAACAACGAATTTTGTACTTATTGGCATGTTCAGGAAAATAACAAATAAGAACAAACAAAAGCTACGAAATAAAAAAGAGGACAAATACAGAAGAAAGGGTTAGGATAGTTTCTATGATGAAGGGGGTATATTGTTATGCCGGAAGTCTTTGCTGGAATCTTTTTTTTTCTTTTTAATGACATGAATTACTCATTCAAAAAAATGAAATTGTGAGAATTATGATACCTGTTGACCAACAAACAGGAATTCAATACAAAATAGAGATACATAATAGGAAAATTTCCTGGAATGCAATATTCTTAGTTGCTATTTGTTGTATAATGTTTCACTGTGAATTCATTACTGTTCAAAATCATAAAAAGGGAGACAACATCGGTGCAGAACATAAATTATTTTTTTCTCGTCAATACTATTAACTTTTATTTTCTATATTTTTTTTTTCAAACAGAAAGGTACACCATCACCCGATACGGGACCAGATGTTGCTCACAAAGGGTATCAATATGTGTATATTGAGGCAACAGGAGCAAACATTCAGGCTGGTGATAAAGCTGTGAAATCTACAAATCTACAGCTACCTAGTAAGTTAAGAAAAAAATAAGCCTTTAGCTTTCTCCTTCAAGAAATCTGACAGCAGAAAAGAAAGCTCTCAAAGTAGCAAACAATTCGACAAAATGTTACAACAAACTTGTTGCAAGACTTTTTGTGGAAAAGGCAAATGAACTCTATGTCTACCCGCATTGAGACAGGGCGGACTCTTCTAGTAGATCTGAAACTGCTAAACAAGCTTGAGCAAATGAGTTTACCCCGTTTTTTGGTGCCATTCGTGTTGCTAAATCTTTAGTTTCTGTGTAGTGTTAAGTCGGCTTTTGTTTGTCTGATAGGCATATATTGTTCGGTTATAATAATGTCTATTTTTCTTTGTCTTAAAGTTTTTGATTGGCTCTTTGATATCTTCCCCCCTTTCTAACAAAGCATTTTAAGATATTATATTTTCAGTTTTATTTTTGCAATTGAATTCCTCTTTATTTTGTTGCGTAGAGTAGGGGTAATAAAATTGAGAATGGAAACGACGCAAAGACCCTATCTTTAATGATTTGACAACAGCATCGTAACTTTATCTCTTGTGAATAGTCTGTTTAAAGTTTTGGTTAGATTTTTAGGTGAATGACGAGATTATTGCGCTTTGTATAGAATATTACATAAGCTTATCATGGCTGTTTTCGAAATATGTTTTTTTTTTGTGAAAGGAGATCGTGGTTTAAAAGCGTTTCTACTTCATTCCTACTGTGGTAAATGTTTAATAATTTGCTCCCTTTATGTTTGAAATTGGTTGGATGAGTTATCGAACATTGACCCTTGTTGGTCTATTGTAGCATATACGTTTTGAACGTCAAAGATTTGCATTAGCTTTCATAGTCACTTAGACTGTTTTTTAAAAATGTTTTTAAAATGTTTTGAAATGGTTTTCATTTATAGTTGACGTCACAGTACTGAACTTTTTATTTGACAGATTTGGCAAAATTAATGTAATAACATCCTTGTTTGGTCTATTTAAGCATAAACACACTTTTTCAATGCAACCATATGCCCAAATATTTTATACAAAGTGAGATTACTTTCCATTATTTGTAGTTGACCAACAATGCCATTTTGATTTCATTTTTTTTTTTTGCAGAAGTTATAGGACTTTTAATTTTTTTTTGCATATTGTATCATAATGACATTGTAAGACTTGTTGTGTTACTCAAAAGTACTAAAATTGTCTGACCACTTAGTCCTGTTCACATAGAAGATAGGATTACATCACCAAACACATGACAATCCTTAAATTTTCAAACTACAAAAGTTAAAAACTGTGCGTTACAAAAAGGTAGAGTGGGAGGAGGGGATTCCGTGGAAGTTATGCATCGAAGAAAAAGAGAAAACACCATGACCGAAACAGTTACAAAGAACAATCCATAAAAGTACTAATTCCAAAATTGTCATGTCTGACCCTTATATGTTAATGATCTCTGGTGGTCTCTCCTGGTGCCTCTCATTTTCGACATCATAGTATTGACACAGATACATGTGGAAAGAGGAGAAGGCCAATGCCATCATTAAATTTTTTCGACGTATTCATGTAATTTATTCCAGAGTGTTTGTTAAAAGATGAGTAGGATCTAGTAGATAATTACCATATATATGCATACATTTAGAGTACCTAACATTTTAGCTTTTGACTGCCATTGAAAAATTTAATATTAATACTTATATCATAAATTATTTATATATCTATGTATCTCAATGCTTGGGTTTTTTTTTCTGATAAAATAAAAAATTGCAAAAAAAAAAAAAAACAATTTGCATCAGTAATGTCACTAACGAGGAATAGAGAACGAAATATTCGTTCAAGGCTAAAAGACAAAAGTTGAATATATCAATGGTCATCTTTGACACAGATATTTCATAACGTTCAAATAAATCATGTTGGCCGCCATAACACTCTTGATGGCTTCAGCTCTCCCTCAAAAAACCAAATTATGAAAAGCAAGCCCTGGAATATCATATTGAGTTATATATTCCATAAACAGCAGCTTCTAGAACGTTGCTACATAGAAATTAAAAGTTCAAAGTAGGGAGATAGAATTTTTTCTTGTGTAGTTAAATTTTGTAGTTAAAGTCCCAAAACAACCCTCATTTTCAATTTCTAGTAAAATAAGCTTCTTTTTAAAAAAAATTATTGAGATATAAAGTGTCAAAGTAGTCGGAGACATATAGTTTTACCCTTATCCGTCATTCCGCAACGAACAGTTATACTGACTTTTTTTCTATACGCCGTCACATATTGAGCTGAATTTTAATTTGTGAGACTGCTATGATAAGTTACAGATCGATTTTACGTTTGGTTCCGCTTCACTTATTTTTGCCGAAATAGCGGGCTTTGGACTTCGTGAAAATTAGAGTAATACAGACTTTTTCTAAACGACTTCACATATTGAGCTGATCTTTAGTGTGTGAGTCTACTATGATGACTTACAGATTGAGTTTACGTTTAGTTCTGCTCTGCTTTGCTGATTTGTGCCGAAATAACGGGCTTTGGACTTTGAAAATATCGTGAAAATAACAGTTATACGGACTTTCATTCTCAAATTTCCATTCCTAAAAATGGCTTCAGGCTTTATTTGCGAGCGGGGCCATTCGTGTGGTTCCAACACAGCTAGTTTTTTTTTGTTTTGTTTTTTTTTTTCGTTTATTGTTTTGTTCATAAATAAGGCCGTGTGTTTATTTCGTTTGAATTGTTTTACATGTCATTTCGGGGAATTTTATAGTATACTATGCGGTATAGGTTTTTTTCATTGTTAAAAACCGTACGGTGACCTATAGTCATTTGATCTGTGGTGGAGTGTTGTCTTATTGTCAATCATACCACATTTTTTTATATATAGTATTTCAAACTCTAGGCAGTTATTTGGCTACATCTCATCTTAGGGCTATTGTCCTCAATGAGATAGTAGCCGAGCAATTTCATCTTGTCTTCATCGCCACAGATTATTTGATTATTAATAGCTTTTACCTTAAAAGAGAGGCGTAAAATACTAAAGGGACATTGAAACTCATAAGTCGAAAATAAACTGACAACGACATGGCTAAAAAAGAAAAAGACAAACAGACAAACAACAGTACACAAAACACAACATAGAAAACTAAAGACTGAGCAAAAGAACCCGCTCAGGAAGGGTAAGCAGATCCTCAGTCATATGTGGCACCCATATTTGATCAATGTAAAGACATACATTATCAATGTGGATAAACAAATGTCTTATCTTACCGTATATAAAAATTCAAGTTAAATTGACTTGCGGTTCTATACATTCTTATTATCCATATGAATTGATAACATTTAAACTAAAGTTATCTCCTACAGCATAATCACAGAGATGAACATATGCTTAACCTTCCTTGTAATTTTCATAAATTGGTATCTTTATTTCAATTTTGCGTGATATGATGCATTTGTAGATGTCGACCACTGTATGACATTCTGGTATCACATGAAAGGAACTCATATGGGTACATTAAATATATACTCTGAGGGACAAAATACAGCAAAGTCTAATATATGGAGTCGATCCGGAGCTCAGGGCAATTTTTGGATAAAAGGAGAAGTCAACGTACCTGCTATGATTGGTCGTAAGGTAAGTCTTTTAATTTTTCCTCAAATAAAGGACTTAAGCAAACAGAAGAGGGTTTTGATTTGTGTGTATAACCCTATTTTTTTATGACTTTTACACATATAAGCATAAAGTTTTTAACCAAAAACTGCTTTCTCATTTTTTTCAAACACTAGGAAAATAGACCTTATTCCAGTGAAAATGTAATAATATAGTGCGTTGTTATAATAGAAGTTTATTGAATCAAAATGTCAATAGGAATCAGTAGGATGAAAACAAAAATCAAATGTAAAACTGGTATATTTTCTATACTACATATCGGATTGTCATGATACTAAGTAAATTCACTTTTGATACATTAAGCTTCGTTTCTGCAAGCATAGTTATTTTCAAATTGGATTGGGTTCTCGTTTGATTGCACAAAATCCTGTATATTATTCTCATCGCCTTCTTTATTTTTTAACCCAAAATCAGCAAATTTTCAAAGATGTTTTTATAAACATTGCCAAAGTACACATTACTTTGTGTTTACATTTAAAGAATTTTACGGATTTTCCGGATGGTGAAATTTCTTCATTTTAAGCAACTTTCAATTACTGGTATCTTTTTTGTATAAATACCTCCACTACAGTTTTCAATGCACAATCATCAAACTTTCTAGAATATTTGTATAAACATTGAAGATTTTATTTTTTGGACTTTTTTGAGATTTGCTGCTGATTTGTCAGATAGAAAATCTTACACATTTCCAGCTCCATTCTCTATGTAGAGTGCTCATTTTGTTTAATTACTTCCTACAATTTTCAACCCTTAAACTATTCATCGTTCAACGTTCTAGACTGGTTGGTGTATACATTGATGATGTGCACCTTATTTTTTGTTCACATTTGGATTTGCTGATATTCTAGATGATGAAATTTAGTCATGTTAAGGTTGAGGGAATTAATTTAAATTGTGTTAGCGATCCCCTCCCTACAATTTTCCACCAGAGCCTTTAAAAGCTTTTAATGGTGAAACATATAACAGGAGTACTTTTTCTCTTTTAGCTTATATCTTCAGAGATACTTATTTCCCTTACTTTTACATTTTTGTTTAAATTGAATATTTGCTTTCTAGCATTCAAATAGAGGCACCCTTTTTACAAAGTAATGTCATGAAATAAATTTGCCTGGTCCTAAGTAAGTAAATTATAATCATATCTTTTATTAAGTATTTTCTGCAACATAACGAAACATAAATATCAATAAGTTGTATATAGACTATTTTATGCCAGTAAAACATAATGAACTGTGATTTGTTTTAGATATCAATTGAAGCTGTTCGTGGATCTTACTGGTCAAGCGACATTGCAATTGATGATATTTCATTAACCCCAGGATCATGCGGTAAGATGTTTACTCTTTAAAAGAAGAACCCGAACATGTTAAAAAAAAAAGAATTTACTTCAAATATTCAAAATCAATTTCAATTTTAGATATAAGTGTCATATTGAGTTAAAAGTTTGCATATTCATTGTTCCGAACTCACAATTCCTGCAAATGACGGAATTTATCAAAATATACAAAACATTCAGATAGCGCCACAATAATGTCAATATCTGGTTTTCCAAACATAAGCCTTAAAAAGACAGCTCTGATCCGTCTTTACATCAACTAAATTAAGCGCCGAATAAGGTCCTGTAGAATTTTACATCATTTTATATATATATGCCATTTCTTGAAATTTTGAAGCGCTGGTTGTCGACTACGCCCGGCCAGATCTTGATAATTCCATAAATGCCTGATTGGTTTCAAATCTAGTGATTTGAATGGCCATAGAAGGTCTGTAAAAATCTTTTATACAAGAGAGTCTACTGTAGCAGTGTGCAGTCGAGCGTTGTCGTGCTGATAAATTTCCTGACGGAGGTCAAAGCCAGACAAGACATTATTCTGTCTCTGTAGCGAGGGTAGTTTCTATTGCCAGGGATATACACCAGCCGTGTGTTCTGGCTGTACTATATTGCTCTCTACATCACCACACTTCTGCTGACGAAGTTGTTGACCTAGGCATCACAATTTCTTTATAAACTTTCATTCTGCTGCTTTTAAACACGGTTACAGCCATCTCGTCTTTGCATTAGGAATTGCTCGATCGAACTCTTGCAAGGCGGGGATTGCATCTCATGGCAAACCAACCTAAATTCATCTGGCGAGTTAGTACTTTTAAAAAGAGCGGTACATAAGAGTTTGTGTCGATACTCTTCGAAGGCTGTTTCTGTTGCTGTCACAATCCGGTTTCTCAGTTGAATGACCCGCAAGTTCAGGTAATGAGCTGCTGTGGTGATTCTAGGGTAGCCAGAATGTTGACGGTCAGCTCTTGACCCGGACTGTTGTCACTGTTTTCTGAGTCGTCAAATTGCTTCAGTGAATGTTACAGTATTGCCACTGCATTCTGGGATTCGCTGGCCTGAAGACGCACAATAACAATATTATTGTACATCGTCGGGAACAAATCAAGCGACTGTATTTAATTGGCTGTCTTTTATACCCGAATTACAAATAAACCACGATTTACCCATGCACCTGGTCTCGTTTTCTTTTTACGCTTAATCCATGCAGGGATACATATACAGACTCGGAAAGGTCACATGTGATCAATGAATTTAAATTCCTTTATCCGACATTAAAATTTTACAATGACTTTTCTATTGTTGTTGTTATCCATTGATTTACAAACATGTGTGTAAAGTAGCAGACAATGTTTTTGAAAGCTTTACTGTAATCATTTGATAACAAACAAAATTATAATTATAATTAGACTTTATGAAAATAAAACAAGCACAAATAAATACACACGACGATTACTACGTGCGGAAATGTGGCTGGTCGTACTCCTGAAATAACCAACGTTTTAACATATTGATTTACAAATAAAGAATAACAAAAGAATGAATTGAAATTGAAATCATTTCAGTACTAACAGTTTACCCGCCGGCTATTTACGCATTTACTTTTATTACAGTTTACCCAACGGCTATTTACGCTATTAATACAGTTCATATTGACACACTAGACAATAATTATAATTCTTACGATTTTTTAATATTATTTTTGGAAAAAAAATCGCGAAAATTAATACCCGCGAACTTATTTAAAATACATAATTCGCGAAAATAAGTACAAGTACAGTAGTATAGTAAATGCAAATAATATTAACAAATTTGGTGCGTCCGTGGCGATGTTCTAGGTTAACCTTCAATCAGAATGCTCAACACCGCAAAAAATAATGCCAAGGATGTATGATAGACTGGTTCCCTGTCCTTTGTCTGTTTGTCTCTGACTTGACAACAAGGGTGTCTGAGATACCCGTGTGTTGCAAGGGAAAGTACCAGCCAAGGATGTATGATTACTTGAAGATGCGAGGAGCTATACATGACAAATAGGGACATAAAAATAAAAGAGAACAAGAATTTGTCCATAGTACTCGGATGCCCCACTCGCATTATAATTATCTATGTTCAGTGGACCGTGAAATTGGGGTCAAAACTCCAATTTGGTATTAAAATTAGAAAGATCATATCATAGGGACCATGTGTACTAAGTTCAAGTTGATTGGACTTCAACTTCATCAATAACTACCTTTACCAAAAACTTTAGCCTGAAGCGGGACAGACGGACGAACGAACGAACGGACGAACGGACGGACGGACGGACGGACGAATGAACGAACGGACGCACAGACCGAAAACAAAATGCCCCTAGGTGGGGCATAACAAAAACTGAATGATCAGACTACATTTTTTATTTCCCTGAGGATTTTACGACTAGACTTCTATTTGTAATCAGCATCTTATTTTGTTACTTTTGCTAGAAAAAGCATTGGGACAGCAGTTTATATATTAATGGGTTTGTCCTATGATTTAAATTGGTAGTTACATTTTTCAGCCAACCCAGCTTCAGTTGCTCCAACGAACTCACAAACTACAACGCAGCCGACTACAATTACATTTCAGCCAACAGGTATGTTTATTGACTTTCTTTGTTTATCTTTGTACACCCACTGCTGATCAACGTTGAAGTGAGATCTTTGAAGATCAGAACCTTACAAGATGGTTTCAAGCAAAACCAGTATCAATTAAGAGATACTCAAACATTTTCTGGGACATTTAGGGATGACAAGACATTGGGTCAGGGATATAGGAAATCTATCCTTATTTGTCCTAGACAAGAAAATTTAGGAGAATCTTAGGTATGATTTCAAATGGTACCAAACTTGGGGTACATCAAAAGTGAAATCCATCCATTGTCCTAGCCAGAAAAAAACTTAGAACAATCTTACGTGTGATTGTTCATTTGACAAGACTTTGAGTAGGATACATGGTTAATCTATCATAAGACGTGAAAGCCATCACATGTACGATTTCAACTTTGACAAAATGTAGATGAGAAAAAGACTTAAAAAAGTAAATCATTTACAGATTGGAAGATTTTTGATTTGACAATGTTTCTCTATTCAAAAAAGGTTTGAAATTGTATTATATCTATTTGTGTATAATGTGGGGAAAGAATCATACACCAAATGTTTATATCAAACTTTTAGAGAGAGGACAGTTAGGGATTGTTCCTTGTTTAAGTGTCGTCCTGAAATATATAATTCTGAATGTTAAGCAAACGACAATCAACCAATGATGTTTAGCGATCCTCTGTATCAGCTTTTAAATAGCCCAATGTGGTCCGTAGCCATAGCTGCAGTCAATAATGGGTGCCATTTGTGTGACCAATGATAAAAATTAAAATTTAAAGTCACGTGGTTCGATTTCAGCTTCCGGATTGCAATTTTAAACTAGGTAAAAGATCCATTTGTTCATGTTTTTATATCAAATCTACTCTTAACCATGCTAATATTGCATGAAAAGAAAATATAGCTTATTTTCACATCGATCGATAATATATATTTTTAATTCGAACGGAATGAACATTTTTTTCTATCCCGGGCTATTGTCTTTCTTTACAGGTGGCAGCCAAGCATGTACATTTGAGGTTGGTGCTTCATGTTTTTTGGTTGAAGCTACTGATGACGAGTTTGATTGGACTCCTAATTATGTAAGTCATGGCAACTAATTTAAGTAATTATAATGATTACACACATGCATATGTCTTGTTTGGCACTTTCCATTTTTCTAAAACGAAGTATTACACTTTTTCTCACCTCACAGTTTTAAACTGAATTATTAATTTGATAAAATTCTTAGAATTCTCATGCCAAAATGAATTCATCCACTGTTGCATAATTGAGCATTCTATTTCTATGTAGTGTTTTGCTGATTTTTTTTCGATTTTCTTTTTTGCTATTATGTTTTTGAATTATCTTCAACTCATGAATTTTGATTGCTTAGTTGTTATATTTCGCCTATTTTAAAAAAAAAAACAAAATGGTACGTTATATTGGGACCTTCCTTATATTGTAAAATAAATAGGATGGTAACAAGTATTGGTCGGGTTTGTCTCATCTGTGGGAGCTAGCATTTTTTAGTTTTGTAAATGTTCTCCTTCTTTTATTTCTTTTGATTTAAAAGTATTTGGTTTGAATAATTTCGTTTGTACGAAATGAAAAAAATGAGAGAATAAATGTTTATTTAGAGTTTGTTTTTTGTTTTTTGTTTTTTTGTTTTTTTTGTGGTAATGGTGTTTGTCGGGGATCAACATATTGAAATTTAGAATGAGTTTGAATCGCATTACGGATGGTGAATGCATAACAGGAGACACTGACACTTTCCACTAATCTGGTCTAGCTTCGTTTGGAGTTTGTGCAATTCTTCCAGTGTTTATTTTAACTTGGCTTGTATATTGAATATTGATTTACAAGATTAGAAAAGTATATGATACTGTTGCCTCTTAAGTATTAATATATTCTCACAAATATCTCTGGCATTTGTATCACCTGAATGCTTTAGCACTATTTATTGCGGTTATGAAATAGCCCAAGTTTAAGATTTCTGTCAAGGGAGACTGTTTAATTGATATACATGTATGTTGATAACTGATATAGAGCTCAGGCCTTGCCCAAAAAAATGTTTGCAAATAACGTGTGGTTTGTTTTTATCTAATCCATAGAAAATAATTGTTCAAGGCTTTTCACGTTCTTATTGTTAATCTAGCAAATATGTTCATCTCCATAATCTGTTAGATATATGACTAAGCTCCCTTTCAATGTCACCTTGATGACGTTATAGTCAAATGATGTCATTAACCTAAGCTATGTTTCACATTTGAAAAAGGCCGTTATTCTGATTAATAGATAGCATGCAATCATGTGGTTCTAGGTGATTTTGCACTGCCAAATAAACTCTTGAATTATCTTCTCTCCGTCAACTCCGTCCAATCCAAACTGAATCTGATGTCTAAAAGGAGTTCAGCATATGCAAATGTCATAATATTTATATAGCGTCTGCAAAGTAATATGATAAAAATATGATTTAAACCTTGATCGTTTTAAATATATGATTTTACTTAGGGGGAAACTACATCTTCGAAAACAGGACCAGCTTCTGCCTTTGAAGGTGTGATGTACAAGTACATAGAGGTATCGTCCCCAGTGAGAAGCAACTCTGTTGCTAGATTGATGTCTTCTTCATCATTAAATGGTAAATAGTATAATTGTTTTTAATGAAATATGAATGAAAAGTGATGCAGGAATATAAATTATTGACACAATCTTAAAAACAAAATAGAAACGGTAAATAAGCTCGCATTACATCACTAGTATTATATTCCTAACTTCTAATCAATATTGACCTTTCACCAAAGGTCATTGTAAGTTTTTTTGTTGCTAGTTGCTGTTGTCAGTTTTGGTGTTTTCATCAATCTTTTCTGAAAACAGAAGTTAATCAACATTGAAAATAGAATGCTTTGATAAAAGCAGTAAAAAAATTTCAAAATCATGTTTAGGTTCAATTGTTACCTGATAAATTGCCATCAAACATGACTGACAAATTTAGACTAAACATATACAATTTGACATCATCATAAAAAAGTCAGATTTATGTCAATGCCTATTTTTACCAAAAATTGCGTTTAGGGACACACTTCATTGTGTTACTTTTGTAATATTTATGGGTAATGTCTTCAACTCCTTGTCATAAACATTACTGACATAAGAAAATTACACCAAAAACTTAGTGTAAATCTGTTGAAAAATCGTATACAACACAAATTTCAAAACTTGTTAAATGCTTTGTTTATGATCTCCATTTCAAACTATATTCTTTTACCAAAATCATCCTCAGACATGGGGTCAAAATTACTTCGAATCGAAATTATGACTAAAGCATAAAAAATCATTTTCCCTGCTAATTGTTACCAAACTGCAAGAAATAATATATTTGAGAACGTTAAGAAATATATTTTATGATCCAAACTGACATGAAAGAAATAAAGATCTACAGCAATGAACTTCTGTATCGTGATTTCTGGGTGGAGATATATCTCAAAATCAGATGTTGTTTAGATATTCGATCTAGAAGTTTAATCAAGTGAAAAATATGGCATAAAGCCGACACGCTTTTAAGGTCAATCCTCCCTCAAAATAAACAAAAAAATATTTTTAAAAAATATTGTAAGAATATAAAAGTTTTTGACGATCAATAATTGGAAAATCTTTTGTGAAATAAGAAAGGTTTGATGCTCTAAGTTGTCGCTCTGTCATATTGTTAGGGATTGAAGATGGCAGCGTAGACATTATGCTTAAGAAATGGATGTTGGCAGTTAATATTTTCAACGTTTTAACACAACGTGCACTGTATTTCAAAAACGAAAATCTCGCTGAAAAATGTCCAGAAAATCACTGGGAGTGCACTTTAACATATAAATATTTACATTCACAACAATCAAAGATTAATATTTTGTGACGGAAATACGTTTTAATTGATTCGGTCAATTTATATTAAATAAACGTGCTTTTCATGTTTATCAGTAATAAACAAAATGACAAGAATTTTTCCGTGTTAAGGCTAGTAAATGATGACAAAACAAACCTTTATATTTATATATTTTTCTTCTTTTCAAGATTGTAGTTAAAGCTTTCTTTTTTCTAAGAATATTCGAAAAACATAGGTTACTGTATGTATTTTAAAGGTTTAGGTTGTGACTATGTTTAAGATATCATTTCTTTAATTACAGGTGGTGATCACTGTTTGACTTTTGCATATCACATGTTTGGAGCAGATACAATGGGAGATCTGAAAATTTCAACAGGAGTTACAGCCCCTGAAAACGAACTTTTTAAACAATCTGGTAACCATGGTGACCAGTGGAATAAAGGGATGGTTGAATTTACATCTGGTGCTCGAATGAAGGTTCTCTAAGTTGTTTCATTTGCCACCGTACAACATCTATTTATTTTCATCTGTAGACTGTTATATATTAATTGTGATATGTAATTGAAGTAAATAATTTTAGTAACAACATAAAAGAGTTGATTTAGAGGTCAATATACAGGTCTATACAAATTGGGAATCAGTTTAAAAGGAACAATCAAAACAAAATCTTTAAAGGACCAAAACACACATAAGATTTTTTTTGTACAAGTTAATTTACTTGTATGATTAGAAATGATTACATGTTAAGCTGAGCATATTTATGGTACTTTAATCTATGTACCAAAAGAATAGAAAAAGAAAGGATATGCCCATCTATCCATGACAGAAGATCAGCACATGCACAGCACACTCACAAAAGGCAAAAGAACAGCGCGTCTTATGCTGTTCTTCATCTCAAAGTCATAGTGAGGCCTTCAACACAGAGCAAAACAAAATACTCGAACCTCACTTCAAGTTACAGACTGTCATACATGTTCTTTTTGTATTTGTTGACTAGCAGAATACTTGTCTTCTGAAATTCCAAAGGTAAATGCAATTAACCATTGCAGTAATCATCAATTGGTAATCCTTTTGATGATACATTAGATTTTCTGATTAATTGATATTTTCGCAAAGATCAAAGATCATTCAACATAGAATTAATTTTTGATATTCATCTTGTATTGTTTTTCACAGACTAATAACGATGAAATTGATTTCTATATATGTTTCCTCTTGCAGTTATTTATAGAAGCAAACAAAGGAACTACATATCGAGGAGATATTGCTTTAGATGATATTGAACTTAAAAGTGGAAACTGTTATGGTAATATTTGTATATAAAATCTTATTTCTATGCTATAATTCAGAAACTACATGCACAGTTTTAAACTGCACAAAACGTCAAAGGTTAAGGAACATTGTGCATGATTAATCTTTTAGGCAAGTAAAAATCTAAAAGGTACTAAATCAAATTCTGTAAATTAAAACGACAGTAGTTTGCCGATGTACAAATCTCACAAATCGATTAAGACCAGACAAAATAAAATGAGGGAATAGCATCAACTCAAAAAGGAGTAACTCAGAATCTATAGACTGAGGAAATCGCATGAATTCTAGAAAGAGTAAATGGGATCGTCGAAATAATATTGTGTGACAATTTCTAAAAGTACTGAATTTTCATGCAAAAACCACTAGTAATTCAGTTCTACAATGGACAGACATGATTTAGATTACTTGTTATTTATATTTTTGAAGATTATAGAATAGAATAGAAATTTTAAAGAATTTTGAATTTATTTGTTTTGACTTTCTAAAGTGATATTTTATTTCAGCCAACCCAGTCACAAATGGTCCAACAAACTCATCAACTACAACTCGACAAACTACAACTAAACTAACTACAACTCAACCAACTACTACTAAACCAACTACAACTCAACCAATTACAACTAAAACAACTACAACTCAACCAACATCAACTAAAACAACTACAACTCAACCAATTACAACTAAAACAACTACAACTAAACCAAATCCAACTCAGCCTACAGGTAAGTTAATTAATGGGATTGCTTGCTTCTACCTCTACAAATCAAGAATCTACATTTACCAATCAACCAACAGGTATGTTAATTGATGGTGTTTGTTTGATAGAAAATAAATCATTTCTTCGAGCCTTGTTGAAGTAATAGACAGATGAGAAACTGTTCATTTAAGCCGGTGAAAGGAAAATCTTAACCACCCAAGGGTACGATCAAAGTTGGAACTAGACTAGTTTGAGTAGAAGACAACAAAATTTCTCTTTTTAGATAGGTTTGGAATATTAAATCATAAATGTCCATCAAGGAAAATTTCAGTCACTAGTAGGTAATATCTTATATTTTGCATGACCTATTGAGGGGATATATCTGGGGTATGGGAAACAACTCTTACAAAGGTATTGAAGTCATTTGAGCGTTTTAACCTAGCAGTGATTGAAATAGTGATAAAGCATTTATGTTGTTTACATTTGGTTATGGGAATGATGCAGGAGTTTGAATCGACCAAACATTAAATTAAGAGAATCATTTTTTTCAAGATTAAAAAATCTAAATCTGAAAAGTAAGAAAAATTAACATTCATACATTTGAAAGGTTTACGAAAAATTGAATTGGAAAAAAGTAGATTGAATAATGAAGTTAGAAGGTTTTACTACTAATATATTGGTTGATTGTCTGTACTTAACTGTATGTCTTTGGTTTTTCAAATACAAACGGCAATGTTCTAGAAGATATGATCGAAACATCCATTCTAGTTCAATCTAATGCTAACAGATAACCTACATTAGCACAAAGTACTAGATAGTGACAAACTGTCAAAATGTCCAATTGACGGTCTGCTCGACCGATGACAGGGGCATTTTGTAGTCTTGGGTAGAGAAACCAACATTACGTATTTCAATGTAGATATGTCAATTAGTCCCAAGGGTAATCGTCCTATGCTGAGTATAACTGATTTTCTTGATAAAGTTGACTACAGTTATTGTTAAGACCATACAATTTTCATTTAAACACACAAAAATAATGTAAAAAATGAATATTGTCCAAAAAAAGGCTATGTTTAGAAGCCGAATTGTATGAAAATTATGTAAATTTCAACTGTCAAATTCAATAAAAGTTTCTGATTTTCAAAGTTGAGAAACAATAATTGTTTCGGCAATTTTTTGTTGGAATTAAACGATATTTTTTTCCGGCTAAGTTTGAAAAATAAATATGTTATCTGAACTGGCCAGTAATTTCGACTTGTTCAATAGTTTTAAACCATGTATTTACTTTTAGGCTATATCACATTTACTTTAAAGTATGTTTCTACTACACATCTTAACCATCAAGGGTATTACTGATTAGGACATGTGCAAAAACACATAATAATATATGCCTACTAGTGTTTGCGACCGTTTGTTAGTGTACCCCAAAATTGGTTATATTCAATATACCTTAAACACAAAATGCAATGGTGAATTTCAACAAGACTTTGGCAGATGGTGCATGGACCCCTACCCTTTAAATGGTGTAATTAAAAGAAAAATTAAACGAGAGGAAAATTTAGGGGTTACCAAGGCCTACACTCTTAAACAAGGTAAGATATACTTTGATATATTTGGCAAATATGCAAAACAGTCAGACACAAAAGGTTAAGATTTGACAGTGTACCAGGTTTGCCAGGAACAGTTAAAATTTAATTAATAGACATCCACGATTATGCTTCAGATTTTTTTCCTTTCAATTTTTTAAATAATGTGAACCTATCAAAAAGTTTCTTACTTTTATATCGATGAATAATGAATATAATGCTTGTTTTAGTTGGGTATTGTTAATTGTTCTTAGTAACGCGATGGATATGCATAACATATTTGCCACTGAATATTAAGCATACAACAATCAATCAATTAATCAATCAACAGCAAATTTCAATCAAGTAATATCCGTATTTTCATGCCAATACCAACGTACTGGCTACCCAACTTTTGATAACATAGGGGACTAAACATGGTTGTATAAAAACGAAAACAAATTAGAAACTTCATGACCAAAAGGTCGATAAACAGAATAACCAAGTTCACCCTTTTTTGGTGGGGTTAGCGTTGCTCAGTCTTTAGTTTCTATGTTGTTTTTTTGTGTACTGTTGTTTGTCTGTTTGTCTTTTTCTTTTTTGAGCATTTTTGCGTTGTCAGTTTATTTTCGACTTATGAGTCTGAATGTCCCTTTGGTATCTTACAACTCTTAATTATTATTCATACTAATGTCTTAATTTGTAAACAGGGAATCTTGCGAATATATTTTCTTAAGAAGTGGGTTCCTCAAAATACCCTGCCTCTTGTATATATATATATGGGACGGTTTAAATGCCAATAGTCACCCTTGCTCTGGAAGAGGGATTAGAAACACAGGACTTGAAATGATTTAAATATCACTTGTTCTTTTTTTGTGTTGCAGATTGCAGATCAGAATACATATGTGGATTTGAAGGTCAAGGGAAGTGCGTATTTGAAAATATTGATCAGGATGATTTTGACTGGGATTTTAATACTGTGAGTGTTGCATGTTTATGACAAATGAATATAACATGTATAAGATATTGGGTATGAATCAATGAGACAATAACAAAACAGAATAATACCTCATAGAATTTTTAGCAATGAAGAAATTTGTCATTATAGTGAAGTCAGTCTTATTGGTAAAACACAACTTTTTTTCTTCTAACCTTTGCTTCCTTCTGTTAGGATTAGATGTTTGCTGAGGGGCATTATAAGACATACAATTTAGAATCAATTATAACTAAGTAAATGCTTCAATTCAAATACGTTTAAATATTTGAAGAAAAAGACATGAAGTAGATTATTTGCTGCGGATTACTATCAAAGTCATCAGTATACACATGATCTGTTGAGCAGGAGATCATATTATCTTTTAGGTTCTGCACAATTTCGACTTAAGATATTTCTCTTTTATCATATTTTTATTTCAAGGGGTCAACATCTAGTTCCTCAACGGGTCCTGATAATGCCTATGAAGGTTCTGGGTATATTTACACTGAGATGTCTTCTCCACGTTCACTGGGGGACAGAGCTGTGTTGTCAACTGTTAATACAAGACTAGCCGGTGAGTAAGAAACATATTATTGATACTGAATTAACTAATGAGTAATATATGAATGGTTAGTACTACTGATAACGCATTTGGGCTATTTACCCTGTCGATGAGTTAAATATATAAACTGTTATTACTACCGATGAGTTATATATAGATGGAGACTTTGTATACTGCCTATACGTTATGTATAAACTAGATACTGCAAACGAGATACATATAGATGGTAAATACTACATATAAGTTACATAGAGACTTTAATTACGTTAGATGAGTTATATACATTGACTGTGTATGCTTCATACGAGTAATATACAAATGTTAATACTGAGATAGACTATAACTAAAAAAAATGTGGGGGTACACTAATGATACAGCAACCGAATAACAAATAGATGATATATATAGACAGTTATGCTGGCAATGAGTAATATATAGACTATAAGTACTGCAATTTTTTAAGTACAGAATCGTTAAGTCTGGATTCTGTGTAGGTATCGTAAAATCTAATTATATGTTTTACGCATGAAAATTGAGTACAGTCTAGACTGATGGAGTGCAAAGTCTGTATGGATCTGTTTAATTTCAAACTCGTTTTACATTATATATCCAGGACAAACCGAAACATCAAAATGATGAGATATCACTTCAAATACTTTTGAAATAATTTTATATATACTTTCAGGTAAAAGTACACATTGCTTACAGTTTTACCTTCATATGTATGGTGAGCCTGGTATGTTGGATGTTAAATATGGTGAAAGTGGTGCTCTTTCATCTGTGTGGTCAATGTCCGGCGACCAAGGGGATCAGTGGAAACATCATCAAGTGGAATTACCACCTAGCTTCAGCAATCCAGTGGTAAACCAATTGTTTATTTGTTTTCTTTGTATTTAAATCAATCCGGTATCGTTCGCCATCTTTGATTGTAAACTAGCAGACACAATTGGTCTAGATAATGTGCTTTAACTAATTAAGCACATGTCCTTTTAGACAGAAATGCAATTTTATTGTAGTTTTTTTTTAAATGAAGAAAATTTCTGTAATTTATCGTTTTATTGCGACAGTTTACCTATACTGAATATTGTTTTGTTTTATTCATTTTGTTCTAACGTTTAGCTTGAAAATAGCTCCATGATCCATACGTTTTAATATATTTTCGAAAAAGTCCATAAACTCCCTTAAAAGGTTTTAATGCCATATTTTTCACCTGTTATTAGAATATTGATAAAAGTAGTTACAATCTATATGCAACAGATACATTTAGTTTAAAGCAAACTTTCACATGTTATTAAAGAGGAAGTATCTACGGTTTTCACAAAAAGTTAGTTGGCAATTGTTCTCAAGAATAAAGTACATTTTTTATATAAAATACAAATGAAAGCTATTTTGATGCAAATCTATACGTTCTTTTCACGATATTTACTTTTTAATGGAGAAGTTGATTTTTTTCGGCCCGAAAAGCATTTGAAAACCTGCCCCATATTCACATTTTAATCACATTGATTGTATTTTCAATCGATAAATTCATGAAATTATAACATGTTATATTGCTACCCATGTATCATGTCAAAACTTATGGTTCGGCATTGCACAAGTCCATGCGTTATTAACACTGTTGATTGCGTCTTAACTCTTCTTCCGTTGGAGATGGTGCTTTATGTCTGTGTTATTTTGTTAGATTTCTTTCTTCTTTTTTGGAGTGGGGGAGGGGGTAGAACAAATCTAATTAGTTAGTTCCAATGTAACTGATTTGTACTGTTGTATGAATTAAGGCAACATATGTTACTAGCAATGTTCCAAAATGTCATTTTCCTTGTGATGTTTATCCAGGACAGCTCTCTGGAGACACGACATTATATAATTTTATTTTCATTTCATTACTAAAATGTAAGCCTTCATATAACAATGAGACATTGTGTTTATATATATAACAGAAAACAAGCCGCCGTACAAATTAGAAGAGTAGTTTCCCGATGTTCATTTCTAATAATTTTTTCAGAAGATTCATTTCAAGGTATGATAAAAAAAAAAAAGACAGAAGATTCAGAATTTTTACTTTCATTTTAGATCTTATTCGAAGCATCTAGAGGCTCATCATTTAAATCTGACATAGCCCTTGATTCAGTAAAACTTAGCGTTGGAGAATGTAAGTACCGACAACAGAATCGTAGGGTATCTCTGATAGATTCATATATTTCATGTCTTTTTTAGGGAATGACCCAAAGCATTTTTACGTTTTTGGCATAATGGATCATAATGAAATTCTCAAATACTTACAATCATTATTTTCTTAGATTATGGTTTTCGATATTTATTTGGTTTCATTTTTGCTAAAACAAAAGTTTTATTTATCCCTAATCTGCTATTCTTATAAGACACTGACAGGAATTCAAAGCAGTTTTCACAAATGGTTTTTTTTTAATTCAGAATGACAATTTTTTTCTTAGATTATGGTTTTCGAGATTTATTTGGTTTCATTTTAGCTAATGAAGTTCTACTTATCCCTTGACTGATATTCTTATAAAACACTGACAGGAATTAAAAGCAGTTTTCACACATGTTTATTCAGAATGAAAATTTTTTCTTAGATTATGGTTTTCGATATATTTAGTTTAATTTAAGCTTAAGAAGTTCAACTTATCCCTAATCTGCTATTCTTATATGACACTGACAGCAATTAAAAACAGTTTTCAGAAATGTTTATTCAAAATGACAATATTTTCTTAGATTATGATTTTCGAGTTTTATTTTAGCTTAAGAAGTTCCATTTATCCACAATCTGCTATTTTCATAAGCATGCATGAATTAAGAAGCAGTTTTTACAAATGTTTATTCAGAATAATAGTATGCATTATCATAGCTATTCATTTTTTTTTTTTTTTTTATAAAATCTTTTTTTCTAAATAAATCATTTAAAATAAAACAGTTATCCAGACTTTTTTTTTCTCTCTCGTTATTATGCCTGCATATATTGATCTGATGTATGTACATTAGTGTATAATAATAGGTTTCATATTGAGTTTGCAGTTCGTTCTGGTTGACCTTATTTTGGTTTGATTACGGCCATTGGACTTAGTAAACAAAAAAATAAAGATACCAAGGAGTCAATGAAAAAATCATTTCCGATAAAAACAGACAATATAAAGGTCAAAAAATAAATACGGCGAAATAAAAAACAACAATAACCAAGCATTACATAGAAACTAAAAACAGAGGAACACGAACTCAACCAAAAACTGGAGGTGAACTGAGGATAACCATTACCTGTTCCAATGACACTTGTCTTGCGTCGTGAAAGTCGTTGTAATTGTCTAGACCTTTTTGTTATTTTTGAAGACAAATCGAATTTTTTTGTCTTCTCTAACACTTTGATATTTGTAGGTCCCGCTATAAGTGCCTGTATCACAAACCCTTGTATCAATGGTGGTAGATGTAATGAGGATGGGAGTACTGCTAGATATACATGTATTTGTATGACAGGCTGGTCAGGAGATTCTTGTGATGTTAAAGGTAATGAGTATATATGTAAATGTAAGGATAATGTCAAACAACAGTGGCTTTGAGGTGTTTCTTCGTCATTCTTTTTTACTTTAAAAGATTGAGAAATATTGCATTCAAGTAGATAAAGATTAAAATTTATTAAAATTATGCAAGATACTTTTTGTAAATTTTCTTGAGAGAGAAATGTATAAAGGTGTGACATTTTATTTTGTAATATAAGGCATCAAGTAGACCATGTATGATGGGAAGAAACATGCTGTTGTTTAAATCAATTATTTGAAAACAATTATAAGGGTAAATCATTCATGGTTCAATAACCATTACAGCTAAATATACAGGTATTTGTCATTTTTGAATAGGTTGTTTTCCACTTCTTAAAAGGATTTGAAAAGGATATTCAGTCTTCAATGGTGTTGATCTTTTACAAAATAATGTAAAATCTGCTTGATTTGAAGTAACATTGATTGATCAGTCTTTTATGTCTAGTGTTAACTAGTATATATATGCATTTATTTTAAATTGATTGATGCAATGTGTTTTTCAATATCATGTAAATATGATATGGAAATATCCTGCTTAATACAAGACTAACGAACTGAGTTTGATTTTAAGCATGCTAGGACGAACGGTTAAAGGCTACAGGAAGATATTTCGCTCAACTCGCCCACATTATTTTAACTTCGAGTCGACCTAGGCTTTGCTCTTAATCTGAATGTTGTGTTCAAACACCAATTTTAAAGTATTTAGTTTGTCCTAGACGGAGACCGTAGTCACAATCTACTGCACACGTAACAGAGGACACGGACCATCTCAGTGATATTTTCAGTAAAATGAAAATAATACTTTATTAATTTCGTGCGTCCGATGCGCTTTTCTGTATTTACCGTCATCCGAAAAGCTCAAACTCAAACATTTTAAAGCCAACGATCGAAAAGGCTTAAAGACGTGAAGAAGAATATGACAAAAAGGGACCTAAAAATAGCCAAGTTCAAGGTTACTAATTGTACTTAGACTTCGCACATTTTCTAATCAGTGCAAATGTAGATCTATATCGATTGATTGTTGCTTCCTTAATGTCCAAATTGTAATTATATCATACATAATCAAGACGATAAATAGGTCTTTACTTCACAAACTATACATGATGGTCTTGAAGTATAGGTTCTGATGTTGTTTATCATCTAACTTGTTATAGTGTTCTTTTATTTGTCTTTGTAAATTATTAACCTTTACTGTTTAGTCCATTTTTTGGTAATATCTTTTTGGTGTGGCTCGGTACTTACGCATCCCGCCAATGTGTTGTTGTGGTGTGGTCATTTTTTATTTTCTTGTCTTTCATTTTTGCTTATGTACTTTGTCTATATGCCACTTTGTTTTTCTTTGTTGACATATTTGTTTGTTTTTATAGTGATTAAGATTATAACACAATGTTGACTGATGTACCCCTATTTTTGACATTTTTACTTATAATATAGATGTAAAGAGATGTGGTATGAGTGCCAATGAGACAACTTTCCATCCAAGTCAAAATAACTTAAAGTAAACCATTATAGGTCAAAGCACGGCTTTCAACACTGAGCATTGGCTCACACCGAACAGCAAGCTATAAAGGGCCCCAAAAATTATGTCCGTTTGTTTTGTTCAATGGAATTTTATGCGACTGCCATACAAGTGAGAGGTTTAGCTAGCTATAAAACTAGAATTAATCTACCATTTTCTACATAAGGAAATGCCTGTACCAAGTCAGGAATATGACAGTTGTTTTCCATTCGTTTGATATGTTTGAGCTTTTGATTTTGCCATTTGATAAGGGACTTTCCGATTTGAATTGTCGTTGGAGTTCGGTATTTTTGTTATTTTACTTTTCATTATATAAGAAGAAGAAAAAAGGGAAGTTACTAATTTTGGCTAAGATCAATTGTACATCAAATAATCCTTCATTTGTAGAAATAAAGAATAAATCAATGTACTTTAATAAAACATATTAAGGTGGTACCTAACACTACAGGGAGATAACTCTGTAAAAATCAGCTAAACGTTTTAATCACGTTTTATTGTTAAGGAAATATTAAGCTACTCAATGATCAAAATTAGTGTTTGTCAAACTGCTTTATAACCAATGAAATTTGTCTGATAAAGTGGTTGGTTCAATTTTTTTGAAATTTTTATATTTTTGTCAAAGGGTCAAAGTAAACATTTTGTCAAAATTTTAAGAAAATTAAACGAGCCAAATTAATATTAGTCAAGGTGTTGGGTACCACCTTAATAAAACATATTCAAATCAAACCTCTCACTTGCAATCGTTTATTTATATGTCGCGCAACATATCAGAAAACAGGTGCGCTGAGAGGTTTGATTTTAATCAGACTGCTTTTCATCGATCATACAGCATTAAATGACATAATTCGGCAAGTATATCAAATATCTATGAGAATACCATATTTTCTTCCACTCACGAAAATAAATGAATCTACAGTATGTATGAATAATATGAACCATAACTACATGTATCCTTCAAAAAGATATTCACACAGTAAGTATATTTTGTGTTTATGCATTCACTGTCAAAATATGTTTTGCCGACGTTCATTCTTTCTGTTTATTTAGCCAAACGGTTCCTGCAAATTTCATTTTTAGCTACAAATCTGAACAATGATCTTGAAGACATTACTTTAATGACTAGTCATGGCTTGGATGAAATAGACATTTTTTAATTTTTTTTTTAAATTTACAAAATGTACTTAGTAAATGGTATAACAGGATTTGTCTAATGTCTTTACAAGGACAAATAAGACCAAACACATTTGTTAACAACTTACAGAAGCAATATATATCCAACGTAGCTACTTACTAGATTGATGCACAGTTGAATTAAATGGTCTGTTTTGATAAAGTAAACAGACTTTAAACAAATGTTTGATTTATCAGGAAATACAAAGTATAATACTTTGTTCTTGATATATCAAGAGGTACAGGTTTGATATCTTTACAAATCTGTCAGGAAATACAAGTTTGAGATCTTTTCAATTTAATCAGGAAAACAAAGTTTGATATCTTTACAGAATTATCAGGAAATACAAGTTTGATATCTTTACAGCATGTACAGATTTTACAGAAAATACAAGTTTGATATCTTTACACATGTTACAGATTTATTAGGAAATACAAGTTTGATATCTTTACAGATTTATCAGGAAATACAAGTTTGATATTTTTACAGATTTATCAAGTTTTAGTTGTGGATTTGAGACTGATGCACCATGTATTTTCAAGAATTCATCACAGGATGATTTTGACTGGACTTGGAATTCTGTAAGTTCTTTTACAACCTGGTTAATGTTTCAAAAACGGTTATTTACATTTGATTTTAGACCAGTCATAATTTGCCGACTTTAAAGTAAGTATATTGTTCATATTTAGATCGAGTAAGCTACATTAATGGTTATCCACTTTACCTAACTAGGCACATATATACCTCTTTGTTGACAGTTTCATATCATTATATGTTTAACGATAAGATTAATCATAAAACAGTCTGCTTTGAGAAAAAAATGAGTTCTGTGCTCACTTTTACACACACGTGGAAAAGACTTTCGAAAAAATGTATGATTTATTTTCTTTCTAGGACCCATTGTAAGAAGATATTGTTGTAAATAAAATTGATATCATCAAGCCAATGTTTTTTAGTTTACTACCCCAAGTCCATATACTGGACCCGATATAGCAGCTGTAGGAACTTACTACTTATATACAGAGGCGTCAGACCCTAGAAAGTTTGGAGATAAAGCTGTTCTCACAACTGAAGCGACTAACTTACAAGGTAAGCTTTTATAGAATAAATAAAAAAGTGTCGACGCTGAGATTGATTTGAAATAAGGCTGAACTGTAAATTTTAAAATTTGATTTTTGTTCTTCTTCTTCGCCGAAACGTGACTATTTCACTCAAACGTGTCCTAAAAGTCACAAATCGCAAAAACGTGTACGTTTTTTTCCTCGCCCAAACGTATCCAAAAATTTATATCCGTATTACGTGTCCACATTTAGACACCAAAACGTCTCAAAACTTTTAGCGCTAATATGTCCTCTGTGAATCAATAATATGTAGGGCAATCAAAAACTGAAGACAAAAATATAAAGACAAACTCAAAACAAAACCGCTATAAACGGACATCACTGCAGAGTTTGATACAGTTCCAGGATATTGACAAAAAAGGAACTGAGTTACACGAATAAAATCCAAAATGGTAACATCGTAAAACTGCAGATATTATCAGAAAAGTAACAGAGAGGATAATGATTGATACATAAAATTGTTTATACAAAGGAATCTGGACGCAGTCAAACACTTAATGTTAGTCACAGAAATTGTTGCCAAACAAGAAATAACAGCCCAAGTTCTAAAGAAAAACGGTAAAGATAAATTTGATCAGGACCTCCAACGAATCACGATAGGTCTAAACATGTTTTTTTAAATGTTGGTTGCTTCACGTCCAGTTGCAAATGTTTCATGCATGTTCAGGACGATCACGATACAAAAATAATCAATGTTACGCTAGCTGTAGCCAGTAAAGATCATTTGACAGCTGTCAGTAAAGATCATTCCTACCCTCGTTTGATAACGATTCACTTTTCATAAATTGATGGACACATTTCGGCGTCCTACACAAGGTAAACATGTTTGAAGTTCAGTGATCTCATATAGACACGTTTGCGGGTTGGAAACGTTTCAGACAATGGATTTGTTTCTGACTGTAAAATATATACAAATATGTTGGTACATTCAGAGTGAAAATGGATAAAGCTGTTTTTTCAACTTGGCCTGCCAATTTTCCGTTTTAAATTTTCCTTGGAGTTTGGTATTTTTATTTTACTTTTTACAAGGTAGGCTTATCTTCAATAAATACTGTAGTGCAAGCACTGAGAGGGAATGTAGATAAATTAGATTAATTTAAAAAAAAAATATACCATGTTGTGTACTTAACCACCATAGAACAAAACGATTATATACCGTGCTGTGTAATCTTGACCATCATGGATAAAAAAAGAGTGTTAAACAATTACTTGAGTAAAGTGCATGCATGATTGTTTAGATGGGATTTACAGAAAAGAGAATAATGACCAACCATGTTAGATAATAGAGAATAATATGGTGCTACAATATAAAGAACATACAATAAATGGCACAATATTTTTTAAATAGAGAAAGAAAACATAGCCTAAAAATAAGATAAAGACGCCCCTATCACCATCGTGTTTTTTTTTTTAATAATTTTTTATCACATTTTTATTATAGGCACCTATGAAAATTAAATGCATTCAAACTATATTGTTTGGCAGTTTTTAATATTCTTGAAGATGGATATCTCACCGATAATTATAGCTTATTTCGTTATTTTAAAAAATTCCTTTGTTATTTCAGTTGGAGGTTGGTGTCTGTCCTTCCAGTACCATATGAAAGGGAGAGGTATTGGAACATTAGAAGTATTTTTTGGGGATAAAACATCCTCTTTGACAAGTATTTGGAAAAAAACTGGAGAACAACCAGATCCCGACCAATGGAAAACTTCTACTTTAGAGTTACCACAAATTACTAATCCTGTTGTAAGTATTTTTCTACAACAGAGAACTGCTACTACAGACATACCACAATTTAAGAATCATGTTGTTTTTATTCTAGTACTTTAGCTTTGAAATAGCCTTTTGTATGTATTCTCAGTTATAAGGATATTTATAGATTCGATGACTGATCCTTTCGGCCGCCTAAGGCCAATTAGAGTTACGATTCAATCTGATTACCTGCAATTGAGCAGCAAAGAAATGCTTCACCCATGGTTGACCTAATGTCAGTACTTTTCATAGCGGTATAGGTTGTCTCATTGTTGAAGGCCGTTTGGTAACCATATTTGCTTGCACACACTTCATTTGGTCTCTTATGGATAGTTGTTTCATTGGCATTCATATCATATCACCCTATTTTGTATTAATGCGTTTATGGAATGAATACAGTTAAGTTAACTGTAATTACTTTGATGATTTAAATCTACTTACGTTTGATATTTGATAAATGAAACATTAGAATTTAAATTGTAAATTTTAGTAAAGTTAAAACAACAATTTTTTTGGATGAAGCTCAAAATTGACAAAGGGTTGAACTGTAAATTGTAGCATAACATAACTATAGACGTGAAAGTGCAAGATTCTATTTATTTATTGGTATTCAAGTTGTTAGTTTGTATAATGATACAGTTTAGTTCCATGACGAGAGATAAGCAGACGCAGGTTCCCATTTTGGTATCAAGGTTGGTCTGTGTTTATTCTGATTGAAATACCAGTTATTCTGGTATCCATGACATAGCTACTGTCGGTGTTAGGTCGTAGATGAGTCTAAAATCGTAAAAGAGGGACGAAAGATTCCAGAAGGACAGTCAAATTCATAGATCGAAAACAAGCTGACAACGCCATGGCCAAAAATAAAAAGACAAACAGACAAATAATAGTACAGATGACACAACATAGAAAACTAAAGACTAAGCAACACGAACCCCACCAAAAACTGGGGGTTATCATAGGTGCTCCGGAAGGGTAAGCAGATCCTGCTCCACATGTGACACCCGTAGTGTTGCTTATGTTATTACAAATCCAGTAAATAGTCTAATTCGGTAGGTCACTTTCGTGAAAAGGGAAGGGTGTTGTAGTTACGACATAAGGAACATATCCGATATCATCTGTGAAACGGTTATTCCATAACGGTCAACCAACTCGTGAAGCATCAGCATTTTTGCCACTTTTGTTCTTCAGACGTATTATTTGAAATAATTTTTTATGTGAAATTGCATTTATAATGTATTAACAATATCTAGGGGGTATAAGACGGTTGATTTTTATACTCCATTTTAAAATTGAAATTATTTTTTTGTTTTGTTTTATTTAACCCCTTAATGCCAAAGTTTCTTTAATGATGCATTATTCTATAATGAATGCCATCCTTAATTTCTTCGTTAAATCATTCTGTTTGTTATTTTCATTGGTGCATCTTTGTCGACTACTTGCACATTTGTCTACAGCTTGATAAATATACAGCATTAAAACCGTTCACTTTTTCCACACAGTTTTTGTAACAATGTTGGTTTTTAAATTTTCAGGTTCAGAAAAGAATTTTTCATAAAAACACATTCGGATGTATCTCAGTTTAGATATAAATTTAGAAGTATATCGAATGAGTTATGAAGAAGTACTGATTTGTTGTAATTTGGGTTTTTGTCTGTAGATTTGGATACATAAGTGTTATTCTACCATGCGGAAGTTATAAAAACAGTGACGAACGTTACCAACGGACGGACGATACAAAAGGAATATTCAAACAGTGACGGACGATACCAAAGGAATATTCAAACAGTGACGGACGATACGAAAGGAATATTCAAACAGTGACGAACGATACGAAAAGAATATTTAAATAGTGACGGACGTTACCAAAGGAATATTCAAACAGTGACGGACGATACCAAAGGAATATTCAAACAGTGACGGACGATACCAAAGGAATATTCAAACAGTGACGGACGATACCAAAGGAATATTCAAATAGTGACGGACGTTCGATACCAAAGGAATATTCAAACAGTGACGGACGTTACCAAAGGAATATTTAAACAGTGACGGACGTAACCAAAGGAATATTCAAACAGTGACGGACGATACCAAAGGAATATTCAAACAGTGAAGGACGTTACCAAAGGAATATTCAAACAGTGACGGACGATACCAAAGGAACATTCAAACAGTGACGGACGATACCAAAGGAACATTCAAACAGTGACGGACGTTACCAAAGGAATAATCAAACAGTGACGGACGTAACCAAAGGAATATTCAAACGATGACGGACAATACCAGTGACGGACGATACCAAAGGAATATTCAAACAGTGACGGACGTTACCAAAGGAATATTCAAACAGTGACGGACGTTACCAAAGGAATATTCAAACAGTGACGGACGATATCAAAGGAATATTCAAACGCATCAGTCGATGACAAACTGACAACACCATGATAAAAAATGAAAAATCAAAAGACAAACAATTCTTGTAATGTCGGCAATTTCAGCTTCAAGCATTTCTCTCAGATATCCAGAGTAGTTTGTCAATTACCATGCTGTTCATTATTTTTGCTTTTGTACTGGGAACACATTTTTCGCATGAACAATCTTTACTTTGCTTCCTGATTGATGTTTCTAAGTAACTGAATGGTACCCTAATTGTTCACGTGAATTCCAATCTGATTACAGAAAAAAACAGACACTTTTCCATGCTTTGAATACAAGTACCTGATAACTCTGAGTACTGCTTTCTGTTTTCAATACCTTTCGGGATCTTCTGGTTTTGTCATAATGATACACACCTGCAAAGACTTGTAGGCATAAGTTTCATAGGCTGGTGTAATAAAGTAGAACAAGTGATTTTGGTCCTTACATGCGAAGCATGGACATACGATCTGTATATCAATCAGATTGCATGAAGTCTTTCCCGGTTTTTACCTTCGGAAACACTTTATCACTCTAATCAGAAGACATCCTGACTGTTGGTTTTCCTGTTTGAATAATATTACACTAGTCATTTTTGTGGCCCTTTATAGCTTGCTGTTCGGTGTGAGCCAAGGCTCCGTGTTGAGGGCCATACTGTGACCTATTATGTTTTACTTTAACAAATTGTGACTTTTCTCACTGGCACACATACCACATATTCTTATATCTATCTGTCATGGATGGATTAGCTAGAAAGACATATGTAGCCATTTCCTTTAAAACATTATTGCAAAAATCACTCATAAGTCAACGAACAATTTATTATAAATCGCAATTAATTTTTCAGAACAATTATAAAGTATACATGATTGCTGATGATATATATGCAAGTGATGTATGTTTTTTTACTTGAACCCGAAAGTGAGCTTGTAACAATAATGATGATTGTTAAAGAGATTCTTTACCATGTTTATGGCATAGATATATTCATTAATATTTTTTCAGATTACCATAGAAGCGAGCAGAGGTTCGTCGTACAGTGGTGACATTGCTATTGATGATCTCACCCTCAAGTCTGGCGGATGTTGTAAGTGTTACTCCGATACATAAAAATAACCTGTTTGATAAAGTTAAATCCTAGAAAAGCTTTGATTTTTTTCTGAATTATGTAAGATAAAACGAGGTTATAACACACAGGATGTAAACAGTCGAACTTCTCAATGATTATTTCAATGATATAACTGTCTTCCTTTTTCAAAAGAAGTTAAATCTAGGTAAGTTATAATAGGGAGATATTATCTGGGTAAGTTATAATAGGGAGATATTTATCATTGCTAATGAGGTAATTATCTACTTAACGACGTAGATGTTAGTAAATAACCGTACGGCCTTCATTAATGAGCAAAATCCTTGCCGCAAAGCTCTAATCCGTTCAACTTTATGAATATGCATGAAATATTTGCCACTGAATATTTCGCCAACAAAAGTCACTACACATATAACTTTCTATTTGACTTTAATGATATTAGGGGACTATATGATTGAGTTTAGATACTTTAGATGATTAAGGATGTTTTTTGTTGAAATTCAATAACATTTTAATACGAAATTGAATACATTAATGACATTGTTTTATTTCCTCCATTCAAAACGAAGTTCCAAGACAGTTCCAAATTATAGTCCTGGAATAGTAAAACAGCAATATCAGCTTTTCTTTTAGTGTTATTTTACTTTGGTTAGCTTTACAAATTCCGCTGTTCCATATTGCTCGACTTTGACAAAACGAGCATCTTCTTCGTCTACATTAATTGTTACAAAAGTTTCATATTTCACTGAGAGCAGGGCAAACTAACTGGTTCATTTCCCGGGTAGAAATATGACTTTAACTCAATTCTGTAGTTAACACATATGCAAATCCTGATGTTTTTGCTACAATGATGCGGTAATACAAACTTTCATTTTAAATGAAGCATATCATATTCTACTTGAACATTTAAATTAGTTGATTTTGTATAAACTTATATTTTAGTTGTCATAACGGTGAGTATTTATTTCGGATTGAAATAGAAAAAGAATGGAAGGGATACATTATATAGATATATCATCCTTGTACTTTGTTAATGATACAGAATGCATAAGATGGTGATATTTAAAAAAAGTGAAACATTTGAATAATTCTCAATACTATAACAATTTTTTTAAATAAGGCAAACAATAATATGACGTAGGTGCTATGGTAACTAAGAAGTTCCCGATGATTTTTGGTGCAAACGGTTTTTAGGAACATGCTTTTCAGTAAGCAGATAAATAAATAAAAAAAGAAATAGTATGCTACTCATATACAAATTTGCAGGAAGTTGTATGACTCTTTATCATGTTTTACGAAAAATACTGAGGAAAACCAATGTTTTCAAAGGTCTTTCAGTATCAAAGAGGAATAGAGCAATATCGCTTTTTATGCCATTTATGTTTTTCTTTGGGAGCATATAACACTTATTTTTTTTTTATCTTTTTTGTAGTTCCAGGAAAATAGAAGAAAAAGAAAAACCTTGAAATTAAGACTCAATGGTTATGTGATATTAACACAAAGAGCTTTCTCGACAAAAATGACTTTATGGTCATGTGATATAAACAGTTACTTATACATTATCTCTACTAACAGTTGTATGAAAAAATCCTAAATATATATATATATATTAATTGTGTAAATTAATCACAATATACTTATTATCCGCTTTATATAATTGATGTGGGAATTTCTAAAGTTTCATTGCAAAAGGATGATCAACGAAACCAAGTACTAAGCTGAAAGCAAGTGTCAACAAACTTTGGGTTGTATGTTCTTCTAAAACAATCATTATACGATTTTCAGAGTCGGGTTCGTGGTTTATAAATTTGAACATTTCTTTCTTTAAAACAACGTATACAGTGATATCAGAAAATGATGGAAATTGATTTAAATTGTCCAAAAGTTTTGTGTTTACCATGTAATTTATTAACACATATATGATATATATGTTATTGTTCTAAATGTATAATTATGTATTCAGTAACCATTAGTTATTAGAATAAAAATGATCAATCATATTTATTGTTTGTAAAAGAGAGGCGGAAGATACCAAAGAGATAGTTAAAATCATAAGTCGGAAACGAACTGAAAATGTCATGGGGGAAAAACAAAAGATGACCAAAAGACAAACAACCGTCTAACAAATACAACAAAGAAAACTAAAGAGTATGTAATCTTCACTCAATAACTTAGAAAATGTAATTTATAATGTAATTACCAATCCCTTTTCAAATGCAATTGCTGGACATTTAATTACATTTCTAAGAAAGGGCAAATGAAATTGTAAATTAATTGGATGATTTTGCAATGTGATTGAAATAAAAAACATTGTAAATGAAAATCACGCTTTATAAAATGTGTGCGTCCGAAGCGCATGTCTGGATTTACCTTCGACAGGAACACTCAAAGCTAAACGTGTGTAAGCCAGGGATGCGTAAACACGCTGCAACGTTAGGGGCTATATCATAAAAAAGGACCCTTAACAGAAAAACCAAATTAGTCTAAGGCCAACTTTGCTTGAGGGAGGTGAAGCCTTAGTTTCCTATTAATTTCTCAATTAATGAACAGAGAATTTTGAATTATTACATGTAATGGTCATATGTTGTAAAGTTATTAAACCCATATCTGATTTACCCATCTTCTGTGTGAAGGAATAATTGGATATTTGATGTGCAATTTCATAATATTTAATATCTGCTGTGTTAGCAATTTTCTTGATTGAAATTATTTTTTATACTACTGAGCATTGACTGCTTTTTTTTTTTTTCTTTTAACATTACTCAGATTCTATGTTAAAGACAAACTATAAAACCAGGTTTAATCCACCATTTTCTACATAAGAAAATGCCTGTACCAAGTCAGGAATATGACAGTTGTTATCCATTCATTTGAAGTGTTTGAGCTTTTGATTTTGCCATTTGATTACGGACTTTCCGTTTTGAATTTTTCTCGGAGTTCGGTATTTTTGTTATTTTACTTTTTTATATTTGGTGTTTGTGTTTTGTGATACTTTGAATTTTCATTACACTCATTGATATATTATCAAATTTCGGCAACAGTAGTTTACCGATGTTCAAAACTCAGAAATTGATTGAGAAGATACAAATCAAGGTAACAATTAAAAACTGAGTGAATCGTGTGACCTTCAAGCGGAGCAACACATGGTTATTCGACACTCAGGAAAATGTCAAAATAGGGAATAGGACGCAGTTGGTTAATTACAGTTAGACACAACCTTTGGTATCTAAAGATATAAGACAGCAAAAATATGTCGCTAGTGAGTTGAGACACCTGCATATCGTATCGGTATAACACTACATGATGGTGACCAGAAACCTTAAGTAGTGTGGATTTCTTTGTTGACATAGTTGATTGTTTTCACAGTGATTAAGATTAAAACACAATGATGACTGCTGTACCCGAATTTTCGACATTTTTGCCTAATGTGTCTGTTTGTTTTGCTCACACATTGTTGTCAATATAATGGGATTCTTTGCGACTGTCATACAAATGAGAGGTTTACCTAGCTATAAAATCAGGTTTAATCCACAATTTTCTACACAAGGAAATTCCTGTACCAAGTAAGGAATATGACAGGTTTTTTTCCATTCGTTTGATGTCGTTCTGATTTTGCCATTTGTTAAGGGACCTTCCGTTTTGAATTTTTCTTTTAGTTCGGTAATTTTGTTATTTTAATTTTTTTAGTCGTTTTTTCTCACAATTCTGTTGGAGCGGTCTTTATGTTAAAAGCACATCCCTGTTAATGAAATGCGTATAGTCTGCACATGCAAGATTGTGACATATTAATTAAGATATGTTATTGCCATACAACGGGATAGAAGGGTATGTTACCGCTGAGAAATGGGAAGTTGACAATTGGAAATTAAGGAGCATCCGTTTGTCATAGATTCTGGTTTAAAGTCGTCACCTGTATCAATATCAAGAAAAAGAAAAGATATGAAGGAGACCTTGTAGTTTCGGTAGTATTTTTAATCTCTTGTTCTCTGGAATATATGAGATGCAAGCACTCGCTGAAATGTGGATTGTTGAGTGACAGGACATCATCAATATATCTGAAAGTAAAATCATGGAAGGTGTCTTTTTTTGTTATTTTGTCTCTGAAAAGGTTTGGTTGAATTCTGCTTTATAAGAGTACACAAAGTCGGCAACAGGAATGAACAATTAGTACCTATCGTAAAAGATACTGTTTGTTGAAATATCAATTCATAAAACTCAACAAAGATGTTGTCGATCATAATATCAATCATTCGGTGTACAAATGTATTTGTTTTTTTCGGGAAGTGTTATTCTCCGCTAATTAAGATTTTTCATGACCTCAAACAGGGCATTTATATATATACGATTCCAATTTCCATAGAAACTACTCTATTCGTTGATTAAGAAATGATTTTTTGTCAATGTTTCACTACGATTTGGATATAATTTGCATGACATCACATGGACCCTTCTGTGTTGCTATGTTTTATTTATCACTATCTTAACTATCGTGTACGAGTTTCACCAGCCCAGTAGTCAGCACTTCTGTGTTGACATGAATTATCATTGATATGGTCATAATTATAAATTAACTGTTTACAAAACTTTACATTTTTGAAATACTAAGGCTTTTCTACCTCAGGAATACATTACCATAGCTGTATTTGGCAAAACATTTAGGAATTTTTGGTCCTCAATGCTCTTCAACTTCGTACTTTATTTGGCCTTTTTAACTTTTTTTGATTCGAGCGTCACTAATGAGCCTTTTGTAGACGAAACGCGCGTCTGGCGCAAATACAAAATTTCAATCCTTGTATCTATGATGAGTTTATTTCCATGTTTGTCCTAGCAATGGCAAATAATCGATGTAAAGAATGTAAACATAAAGAGATCAGATGAAATGCGGTATATTTTTGCAAATGAGACAACTATCCATAAGAGACCAAAGGGTGTGAATATTAGAAACAGTATGTCATCGCAAGGCTTTCAAAGATGAGCAAAATCCATACCTCATATAGTAAGCTATAAATTGTTCTGGCAATGCAAATGTTAAAAACAATTCAAACAAGCAAACCAACGGTTTTATTTATGTTTTGACCCTTAACGAAAAACAAATATGGTAGACAGCAACCAACAGCAACCACTGCATGGTAAACTTTTACTTCGGACAGGCACATACAGAATGTGACTGGTTTAAACAAAAATTGAGCGCTCAGCTTCCACTTACCTGGGCCATCGGCGTAACCACACAATACAAGAACAAGCTTCAAAAATTAATCCTGAATTGACTGTAAAATGTTGTAATTAGGTAGTAATACACAGTTAGGAAAAAAATTTAAAGCTGAAACTCATAATTTTTAACCACCCTCTTTCCATTGCTTTCTGACAAATAAGGCTTAATGTTTGTGTGTTGTATGGAAATATCATCTTCCATAGATTTATTTCCAATAATTAAAGTGGTGAAATATAATCCCTTTTGGTGTAACCCTAACAACAGTCTGCATTTATTTGATGCAAAATATTGCAAAAAGGGGTCGAAAATGTCATAAAACATGTAAAAGTCCCCAACATTTGGTCCAAAGTAGAATTTCAATCCACTAGAGTGATACCTTTTCTGAAACCATTGACATTTATCTATCAAAAGGTAAAAAAAAATCATATGCATTTCACCTCGTTTTTCCATAAAATTTAATTGAAAAGTTCGAGGGCCAAATATTTGTTGAAAAACACTACAGTAATTTCTAGACCTATGGATGTGAAAATACGGACTATCAAACAGAAAAATGGCCTATAAAACATGCAAAAAATTGTCTTGATGTTCATGTAAACCCACTTTGAAGGCTATATCATTCTTCAACTATCTAAATATCGATTTTCTTGCAGACAAACTTTAATATTTAAAAAAATTATGCCTTTTTAGTGGGAGTGGGGTGAAGTTGTAGTGCAAGTTCGATACAATATCGAGCCACATTGAGAAGTATTGATGGTCTGTTAATTTGAATATGATATTTCGCTTGTATGAGAATTTGACATTTAAACGTCAATTAAACTATAAAGTTTGGAAATAATTATTAAAATAAAGTGAATACAGTGTATTTGTATTTTAAAACTGCTAAAAAAACATCACTTGGCTACACTCGTCAGATGGATACCAAGAACAAATATCAACTTAAACAAAAAGACGTAAGACCCGAAGTTACAATTTATGAATACTCAGTTATGAATAGTTCAAAGCCCGTTAAAGCTGAATAATGTAACACTGAAACAAAATCCTGAAACTTCAGATTGTTCGTGACAAAACAAGGTTTTAAGAAAATTATGTGTTATTTGGTTACATTATTAGGTATTAAAAGGATTACTTGGTGTACCTATGTTATCCTCCAACATAATCGGATAATACATGTAGAACAACATCTTTATCACAAGTTGTATAGTTCATCCTCAAATTTTGTCGAAATCAGATTTTAAATGCATATAAAAAAGAAATGTTTAATTACTCAAATCTAAGGACCTGTTGTAACAGATATAACCGAACGGTTATTTAAATAACTTTTTTAACATTGAAGAGTTATAGAACATGATGATAATAAACTAAATACACCGTTACCTCAGGGATATTCTCGTGCTGATAGACCCACATTCATTTCTTACAAGAAATCAACAGCCGTCAATCGAAATGCCCCTTCTCAATTCAGCACTTTTCACAATTGTGTCAAAGATGACAATGCCGCCGCAGCCAGATTACTAAACAAAGCACGTGGATATCCACAAACATTCCCGCGCAATGTCAAAAAATAACTACTCTGCTCTAGATTATATTCTTGAAATACTGTTAGGTCAATAGTGAACGTGAGCGCTTTATTCATACAATTGCCGCTCTCCTATATGTATTTAAATACAATTGTTGGCATCAACTATTAGGTAAACTTGATTCTTATGTAAATAAATGTATGAATATTATGGAAATTCAAATATCATATTTTGAAAAAAAATAGAATTAAATAAAAGGGTAAATAATAAG